TTTCACTCTTATCATGAATCCATAACTCAGGTACAGATGTGGTTATTTCTCTGCGTCAACCCCTCTCCCACCCTTATCCCTGAGCCAATGAATGTGTAATAGCATTCTGACAGTGAATGCAAATGCTTCTGATTTGGATGTTCCTCTGAGTGCTGTTAAAACCTCAAAGACCCCCTCAAGCAATTAGCATATTTCAATAATAATACACAATACTTAGCCCTTGTATTGAGTTTTACATCTCTAGATCTCAAAGTGCTTAGAGGTAAAGTTTGATTCTTAAATGCCACAAACTGTTAATTTGGAGATCAAAGAGATGTAGATTCAAAATCATTTAAAGAAGAAATCTTTTTGCATTCTGAAACCGATTAATCTACATCACTCCTAGGATATCAGACACAGGTTCATGTGCACCTGCATCGCAAGGAAGAGATGTTTGTAAATCTCAGAACAAACGGACATAACACAGGTTTCAGAGTAACAGCCGTGTTAGTCTGTATTCGCAAAAAGAAAAGGAGTACTTGTGGCACCTTAGAGACTAACCAATTTATTTGAGCATGAGCTTTCGTGAGCTACAGCTCACTTCATCGGATGCATACCGTGGAAACTGCAGCAGACTTTATATACACACAGAGAAAATGAAACAATACCTCCTCCCACCCCACTGTCCTGCTGGTAATAGCTTATCTAAAGTGATCATCAGGTTGGGGGGTGGAGGGTGAGAAAACCTGGATTTGTGCTGGAAATGGCCCAACCTGATGATCACTTTAGATAAGCTATTACCAGCAGGACAGTGGGGTGGGAGGAGGTATTGTTTCATTTTCTCTGTGTGTATATAAAGTCTGCTGCAGTTTCCACGGTATGCATCCGATGAAGTGAGCTGTAGCTCACGAAAGCTCATGCTCAAATAAATTGGTTAGTCTCTAAGGTGCCACAAGTACTCCTTTTCTTTTTGGACATAACACAGAGACTGCACCCGTCTGTGTATGGGTGCAGGGGTAAATCCTCCCAGAACAGCTGGCAGAATTGGGGCCCAGTTTAGTTCTTCCTTTAACCTGGGCATGGACATGTCCAACACTGTATCTGTTAGATTCTTTCATGTGGAAGGGATCTCTGATCAGTGCTCTAGGCAAACTTTTTTGTGCATTAATTTGGTCCTTTTCCTCCATGGAGGGGAAAAAAAACATGTTATGTTGTTAATTTGGAATCAAAGGAGTATTCTTTGGCTTAAAGAAATAAATACATTTCCTGATTTCCGGTGTTACCTATGATCAGAGGAAAACGTTCACTTCATCACAAAATAGTTTCAAGGGTGGGGGGGCAGATATTATCAGGAGCAGAATGGCAAAATAGGAATTCTTTTTTTAAAGATCAAAAGCGGGGGCTTTTACAACTGCGATGATGTTCAGCAGATTTGATTGGCTTGCAAAGTGAACTGGAGAAAAAAAATGAAGGAAAGGGCTGGAGATTGTATAAACTCAGTTGAAGAATTTCTGGAAACAGTTCTGACCAAATATCTAATTATGAGCCCTATATTTATTCTAATTTCCAACATGCTTTTAAATCTTAAATGAACCAAACTATACCATAGAATCTCTATGAACAGTAATTCAATGCTCGAATAATAAAAATATAGCAGTAGAGATATGACTAGGATGGTGATAATGACTGTGAAATGCTCAGGGAGATTAGAGAGACTATTAAAATAAAAAACTCAATAATAATGGGGGATTTCAACTATCCCGATATTGACTGGGTACACGTCGCCTCAGGATGGGATGCAGAGATAAAGTTTCTTGACATCTTAAATGACTTCTTCTTGGAGCAGCTAGTCCTGGAACCCACAAGAGAAGAGGCAATTCCTGATTTACTCCTAAGTGGAGCACAGGATCAGGTCCAAGACATGAATATAGCTGGACCGCTTAATAACAGTGACCATAATATGATTAAATTTAACATCCCTGTGGCGGGGAAAACATCACAGCGGCCCAACACTGTAGCATTTAATTTCAGAGAGGGGGACTACACAAAAATGAGGAGGTTAGTTAAACAGAAATTAAAAGGTACAGTGCCAAAAGTGAAATCACTGCAAACTGCATGGAAACTTTTTAAAGACACCATAATAGAGGCTCAACTTGAATGTAAAAAGAAAAGGAGTACTTGTGGCACCTTAGAGACTAACCAATTTAGTTAGTCTCTAAGGTGCCACAAGTACTCCTTTTCTTTTTGCGAATACAGACTAACACGGCTGTTACTCTGAAATCTGCAACTTGAATGTGTATCCCAAATTAAAAAACATAGTAAGAGAATAAAAAAAAGCCACAATGGCTAAACAACAAAGTAAAAGAAACAATGAGAGTCAAAAAGGCATCCTTTAAAAAGTGGAAGTTAAAATCTAGTGAGGAAAATAGAAAGGAGCATAAACTCTGGCAAATGAAATGTAAAAATATAATTAGGAAGGCCAAAAAAGAATTTGAGGAACAGCTAGCCAAAGACTCAAAAAGTAATAGCAAAAAAAATGTTAAGTACATCAGAAGCAGGAAGCCTGCTGAACAACCAGTGGGGCCACTGGAGGATTGAGATGCTAAAGGAGCACTCAAGGACGATAAGGCCATTGCGGAGAAACTAAATAAATTCTTTGCATCGGTCTTCATGGCTGAGGATGTGAGGGAGATTCCTGAGCCATTCTTTTTAGGTGACAAATCTGAGGAACTGCCCAGATTGAGGTGTCATTAGAGGAGGTTTTGTAACAAATTGATAAATTAAACAGCAATAAGTCACCAGGACCAGATGGTATTCACCCAAGAGTTCTGAAGGAACTCAAATATGAAATCGCAGGACTACTAATTGTTGTCTGTTACCTATCATTTAAATCAGCTTCTGTACTAAATGACTGGAGGATAGATAATGTGATGCCAATTTTTAAAAAGAGCTCCAGAGGTGACCCTGGCAATTACGTGCCGGTAAGCTTGACTCCAGAAGCAGGCAAATTGGTTGAAACGATAGTAAAACAAAACTGTCAGACACATAGAACATAATTTGTTGGGGAATAGTCAACATGGCTTTTGTAAAGGAAAATCATGCCTCACCAATCTACTAGAATTCTTTGAGGGGGTCAACAAGCATGTTGACAAGGGGGATCCAGTGGACATAGTGTATTTTGATTTTCAGAAAGCCTTTGACAAGGTCCCTCACCAAGGCTCTTAAGCAAAGTAAGCAATCATGGGATAAAAGGGAAGGTTCCCTCATGGATTGATAACTGGTTAAAAGACAGGGTAGAAATAAATGGTCAGTTTTCAGAATGGAGAGAGGTAAATAGTGGTGTCTCCCAGGGGTCTGTACTGGGCCCAGTCCTATTTAACATATTCATAAATGATCTGGAAAAAGGGGTAAACAGTGAGGTGGCAAAATTTGCAGATGATACAAAACTACTCAAGACAGTTAAGTCCTAGGCAGACTGCAAAGGGCTACAGAAGGATCTCTCAAAACTGGGGTGACTGAGCAACAAAATGGGAGGTGAAATTCAATGTTGATAAATGAAAAGTAATGCACATTGGAAAACATAATCCCAACTATACACATAAAATGATGGGGTCTAAATTAGCTGTTACCACGCAAGAAAGAGACCTTGGAGTCATGGTGGACAGTTCTCTGAAAACATCCACTCAATGTGCAGCAGCCGTGAAAAAAGCGAACAGAATGTTGGGAATCATTAAGAAAGGGATAGATAATAAGACAGAAAATATCATATTGCCTCTATTTAAATCCATGGTATGCCCACATCTTGAATACTGGTGCAGATGTGGTTGCTCCATCTCAGAAAAGATATATTGGAATTGGAAAAGGTTCAGCAAAGAGCAACAAAAATGATTAGGGGTATGGAACGGCTGCCTTATGAGGAGAGATTAATAAGACTGGAACTTTTCAGCTTGGAAAAGAGATGACTAAGGGGGGTATGATTGAGATCTATAAAATCATGACTGGTGTGGAGAAAGTAAATAAGGAAGTGTTATTTACTCCTCCTCATAACACAAGAAGTAGGGGCACCAAATGAAATTAATAGGCAGCAGGTTTAAAACAAACAAAAGGAAGTATTTTTTCACAGAATGCACACTCAACCTGTGGAACTCCTTGCCCAGAGGATGGTGTGAAGGCCAAGACTATAACAGGGTTCAAAAAAGAACTAGATGCATTCGTGGAGGACAGGTCCATCAATGGCTATTAGCCAGGATGGGCAGGGATGGTGTCCCTAGCCTCTGTTTGCCAGAAGCTGGGAATGGGCAACAGGGGATAGATCACTTGATGATTACTTGTTCTGTTCATTCCCTCTGGGGCACCTGGCACTGGCCACTGTCAGAACACAGGATACTGAGCTAGATGGATCTTTGATCTGACCCAGTATGGCTGTTCTTACGCTTATTTGATATTTCATCTCTCTTTTCCAATATGGGATCAGTTTCAAAGGTTGCACCTGTAAATGATGATGTGCCTGTTCTTGATGTCTTTGAGGTTTTTAAACATGCTGGATATGTTGTTTTATATTGCTCCAGTGGGGTGTGGAAGAGATTTCCAGAAATTCACAAGTTCTTTTCCTTTTCTTTTTCATTCACAGCTGACTAAATTGCTTTGTTTTTGGCAGACTTTGTGGGGACAGATTTACCTCTGAAGTTTACAGCCGCATTTCTATTATTCATTGTGCTTCCTTTTCTTTATCTGTTAACATATTTTTTTATAAAAAGGTTTGTTTTTTATACAGTGCTTTTCGTCACTTGCTCTATCTACTGATATACAAACTATACACAGCAATTACTTAAACACTGCAAGTTGAAAAGAAGCCACTGTACCCCCACAGTACACGGAAGATTAGGAGAGGAAGCAAAACATACTATACCCAACTGCAGGAATGGACAGAACATAACCACTCAGGCTGGAATTGGAACAGGACACCATTCTCCCCAACCTCCACGCAATGCAGCCTCAGATAGCAGGGAAAGAGCCCTTACCTTGCAAGAATTTCAGCTGACTGCTGTGATGATGGAGATCCAGCTGGGAGTGACAATGCTTCAGTGCTGCCTTTCACTGCCTTTAGAGCTAAAACAACATCATTCCCCAAAGGCCCATTGGAAACCAGCCCACTCTGAATTAGGGAGAATGAAACAGGAAACTGGGGTCAAAAGCACTGCTGTGAGGGGACAAGTACATTTGTCAGTAGTACCTAACTGGTTGGAAGTCACGTCAGAGGAAACTAACATGTTCCTAGAGTTTGGGGGGAGGGGAAAGGGGTGTCAACCAAACGGAAATCATTAAAGAAACTTTATAGAAAATAACTCAAATAGAAGACTGTGAAAATGAAATTTATCTTCTTAAATAGAAATAATCCCATATCTGACAATGATTAGTCATGGCCAGTAACACAGAAGGAGTTTCAAATGTATATTGATGTTGTCACCCTACGTTTGTTTGATTCACTTCACTCAGACTGGACAGTGAAACTGCGCAAGTCAGTTTTGTTTTGTTTCTTGTCAGTTTCATTGCCTGGATCCCAACAGCACAATACTGTTGTATATGGCTTTCGAACAGGAAAGAGGAATGATTTTTAAAAAAAATAAAAATCTGTGCCAATGGATTTTTAGATTTAAAAAAATCCCATAAAAATAGCTACCTGTATAAAATTTAACACTATTTAAAACTATTTTTGAGAACATCCCATTAAATCTCCACTCTGAATTATAAATAAATAAAAAGAATGATTGAATAACTCACTGGCACGATCCACCTGGGTGTAATTGTGGGCGGCGAAGATACCTGCCAAAGGAAAATAAACATGCTGGAAAAGTTTCAGTGAAATGCAAAATGCTTTAGAAACATTATTTCCTCAAAACAATTTGACTCAAAAATTAATTTGTTTCTTGCCGCACTGTCACATTATTTATATCTTGTCAGCCTGCACCATTGCTAAGGGCCCGTCCAACACTATGGCTTTGAATCAAGCTGCTTGTAACAGTGACTGACTCTAAACATGATTTGTGTCTGCACACCACATGGCTAATAATTGGTTAGTACAGTGGTCAGCTGACTAGGTTTCAGCACATAGCTGCCTTCCAGTAACCAGTTTTTTGCAGTGTGGATCGGACCCTTTTCTGCAACTGGTTTGGCAGGTCCTCCTCCTCTCCAGCTCTCTGTGCAGTAAAGACACTCCAGAGCACACTGACGTGGCTGCTGCTTTGGCTGCATGCCTTCCAAGTCCACTCTATCCCTGCTGAGTGCTTGGGACAGCTGTCCAGATTTTTCCAGAATGCACTGATAAGCAGTGCAGTATTCTTGGGGAGGCAGAAAATGCTACAAACTAAACTATGATACTTGTAACCAATTCAGGTGACCTCACTTCTGGTTCAGAGCCATAATGAGGAGAGCACCCAGATAGTGCCCCAACAGATCAGAGTGATAACCTAAGGCACACATGAATTATCAGACCAGCAACCATGCTACTAATACATATCAGACACAAATCCAATGGACAGATGCCAAATGACAGATGTCTATACATTTTCCTTTATAAATAGTCAATAGTTAAATCAAATCTGTATGTATGAAGGAGGCTCCCTTTAAGCAACTGGATTTAAAACATAGTTACCCGAGGAATGGTTTCTGTAAAGTCAATTAGATTCTCTGTCAGTGATGTTAACAAAACATCAAGGTCATCTGGATGACTCTGTAAAATAAATCAGTTATTAATTAAATCCCCATTCGTCACCAGATAGAGTATTTTAGTGGTTTCTTGATTTCTGAGCGCCCTCTTCAATTTACTGTTCCATTGCCAGGCCTGGTTTTTGTTCATCTTTTAAACAAAAATGATTATCATCAGATCTTTACTAACAAGCCCTTCTGTTCTCCTCTCCCCAGCCTAGGCTTTGTGCTAGTAGATTTTACACCTACACTGATGTGTAGGTGTAAATATCATCCACTGCACTTGTGCGTGTGGATGACACAATTGTTTAAGTGGAGTCTTTGGACTGAAGATCTAAACTTGGGAAAAGTGGATATAGCTGTGCGCTGGAATCAGCAGCATACAATCGGTTACAGGTGCAGCAGCTAAGAAGTCTTCTCTTTTGGGGATCCAGAATCATACATGGAACCCCTTAGCAATGTTCCCTCTAATTTTTGACAAGCCGTGTTCACAGAAAATTTCTTCTCTGCAAATTGTTGTGCTTCTGTGCAAATTTTTGTACATGCGGTGTTTCGCCGTGTGCGCAGGGTTTAGGATCTGTGTGCACACACACAGCTTACAGGGAACAGTGCCCCTTAGCCTAGTGAAATATCCCAGGAATCCCATGTTACTGTCATTTAATTGTCTGGAGATGGACACAGAGATGCTGACCATGTCACATGCACATAAAACATCTACTATTTATGCTCACTGGTGCCCCCATAGAGAACACACTATCTTTGAATCAGAATCAAAATCTAAGCAACACAATAAAAACTTCAGGATCAAACCCTGCCCTTGCTATTGACTTCAGTGGGAGCTACACCTGTGCAGTTAAGTGGCAGAATTTCATTCTTAGAATCTGTTCCCTGAGACACCAAAACTGCGGGATAAAGCAGATTCATCCACATGCCAGTTTAGAAAATGATGTGCTCCAGGTTGCCATCCTGGAGTATTGGGGAAAGCAGAGTGTAGGACAGACAACACAAAGGGACATAACCCAGAGTGGGGTTTAAAATGGAGTCATATGATATTTGTTATTACAGCAGAAATCACGATTTGGTAAATGTGTGGCTATAGCAAGTATGCTGCTGTAAAGTTTATTATGTGCACAGAGCCATTCCTGTTGTATTAAACAGACAGTGGCAGTGTCTCAGTGTGAAATGAAGAGCCTTGCACACGGACAAAGAGGTGGTGTGTACCTTTAAAACTGCAGTCTCTTCTGCTGGAGCCAGAATAGCTGGAATCAGTGATTCTTCAGGGCCAGAGATGGCATTATCCTCTTCTAATGCATTACTGAAAGAAGAAAACATTCTCATCACACTGCAGAGGCCGTGTGAAATAACCAGTGCTTCTTTCATGACAGCTGAGCCTAGAAACACAACAACAAATTAATATAGGGCAAGGAGGAGATTCAAGGGGGAGGAGGGATAGCTCAGTGGTTTGAGCATTGGCTTGCTAAACCCAGGGTTCTGAGTTCAATCCTTGAGGGAGCCATTTAGGGATCTGGGGGCAAAAATTGGGGATTGGTCCTGCTTTGAGCAGGGGGTTGGACTAGATGACCTCCTGAGGTCCCTTCCAACTCTGATATTCTGTGATTCTATTCTAAGCTTATGAAGAAGAAAGATGCTGATGTGATTGCCAAGTGACCTGTAGCCATCTCAGAACCTGCTACCGCAGGCTAGTGCTATGTAGCATAGACTCCATAAAGCAACTGTGCTGCAGACATCCCCGGCAGTGAACAATGTCAACATCTTCACCCCAGAGGGGTTTTGTGTTTTTGTTTTGTCTTTGTTTTTAACAGCGCTCGTCTCAAACTTGTGTACAGAAAAGAAGTAGTTACTCACGTTATGCAGTAATGAGAGTTCTTCAAGGTGTCCCCTCCCCATGGGTGCTCCACTGAAGGTGTACTTGCATTCCTGTGCTGCTGATTGGAGAATTTTGGTAGCTGTGTCCTGTCCCCACCTTGTGCTCTTCCACAACGCGAACCAGTGTTAACGGAGGTAAACCCTCCTCGGTTCCTTGTCTACCGCAGAGTTTATGATGAGAGCTCCAAAGTAGAGGAAAAGAGGGTGGGTTGTGGAGCACCCACAGGGAGACACACCTCGAAGAACCATTGGTACTGCACACGGGGAGTAACTTCCTCTTCTTCTTCAAGTATGTACCGATGGGTGCGCCATTGTAGGGGACTCCTGAGCAGCATCCCCTACGAGCGACCGGGGCCTCAGAGTCGAGTCTGTTATGGATGAGAGTACTGGGGTGCCCACTCTGGCGTCTCCAGCGGAGTCCCCCAGGGCAGCACAGTGTTCTGCAAAGGTATGTGCAGATGCCCAGGTAGCTGCTTTTCAGATTTCTGATGAATGCGACAGGCGAGGAAATCTATTTGCAGAGTGCATGCGGATTACGGATGGAGGCGCTAAACTGCAAATCCGGTAACAGAGTTTGATACAGTTTGAGACCCATTTGGAGAGTCTTTGAGCTGAAATTGCTGTGCCCTTAGACCTATCTGTAATGGAGAGGAAGAGCCTAGGAAACTTTCTAAAATCTTTTGTCCTGTCCAAATAGAAGGCCAAGGTTCTCCCTTAGACGTAGAGGGTTGCGATGAGGATTCTCACTGTGTGAAGTCTTGGCATGGATCTGAGGATGGTTGGAGGGCCAGTTCCATTAGAAGAAGCTTAAGTCTCAGCTCTTTATCTTATCTGGATCTGGGTTTCAATTGCTGGAGTAAACCACACTGCTGGGGAATGTAGTTTTCTCCCAGACAGTGGACATACTAAGAATGTCCATCAGTCACTGGGATAGATTCTTTGCAGCTGAGACACTTCTTGAAGCGTGATGAACGAGGCATACCCTGTCCAGGGGGATCCCCAGATAGGAGGGGGTCAAACAAAAACAAAATATTAAGATTTAAAAAAAAATAAAAGACCAAAGGAAGGACCAAACGTAAAGGAAACTCTAAGTAGTACGTGAAGTAGGGAAACGATTTGCAAGACTATAGAAGTTAACAATCTATTAACAGACACCTAGAGTGCTGCCTCTAGCCAGGGGCGGTTGAGAAGGAACGGAGGAGGGTTCGCCCATGCAACGCTGGTTAGCCTTGTGGCAGGGCACAAGGGGGGAACAACACATGTGCGGGCCGAACGGACACTGCTACCAAAATTCTCCCATCAGCTGTGCAGGGACACAAGCACACCTACAGCGGAGCACCCACGGGGCACTACTTGAAGAAGAATTGGAGTTTTATGGCTGCCTCCTCCTCACCTGTGTTCTCTGCATCTTTAGGGGCAAAACTGGAGAATGCCAGGTATTTCAGATTTCTCAGAGAGAGCATAGCAATCTCAGACAGATCCAGAAGATTCCCCCTTCTGCTCTGTAATGCGTGTATGCCCACACTCAGGCCAAATCTATATGCAGAAATTGTACAACTTTATCTAAAGGCATAACGTTAAATCCATTTAGTAAAACTGGTTCAGCTGTGTGTGTGGACACTCTTACATTGGTTTAGCCAGAGCGTATACTGGTTCACTCTGCACATAGACTTGAAACCAAGGTAAAAGTGCCCATACACAAAGTAGCCTCAGTTTAACATCACATCTTTCATTTAACCTGTGCAATTTCTGTATGTTTACAAGCCCTCTATATTCTCCAGTGTTGCTTAATATATTTATTATTTACAGTAGAACCCCAGAGTTACGAACACCAGAGTTATGAACTGACTGGCCAACCACGCAGCTCGTTTGGAACTTGAAGTAGGCAATCAGACAGCAGCAGAGACAAAGGGGGGGGGGAAAGCAAATACAGTACATTACTGTGTTAAAAATAAAGTACTAAAAAAATAAAGGGAATGTTTAAAAAAGGATTTGACAAGGTAAGGAAACTATTTCTGTGTTTGTTTCATTTAAATTAAGATGGTTAAAAGCAGTATTTTTCATCAACACAGTAAAGTTTCAAAGCTGTATTAAGTCAATGTTCAGTTGTGAACTTTTGAAAGAACCATGACGTTTTGTGCAGAGTTATGAACAACTGAACTCTGAGGTTCTGCAGATCTGGAAATGGGGTAGGCTCTGAGGTAGAAAAATCTGCAGATGGTTAACCTAGATAACTGTGTCAAGTCTAGAGAAGACTGTCAGAAACTTCAAAATCTAAACTAGCTGAATGGGCAACACTGATGGTAAATGAAGCCCAATGTTGATAAATGCGAACTAATTCACATTAAAGGGGAAAAAATTATCTACTTATACTCCTTACAGGGTTCTAAATTAACTGTATCAACTCAGGAAAGAGACTTGGATATCACTCTGGACAACTTAATGAAGACCTCAGCCTACGATGAAAAAAAGCGAACAAGATCAGGATGCACAACTAGTAGCATGGAGAATAAGGAAAATATTGTAATACAATTATATAAATCAATTCCATCTCAAATTATATGGCCTTATCTAGATTATAGTGTGCAGTACTGGTCACCCCATCTCACAAAAGGTATTGCAGAATTAGAGGGTTCACAGAAGTGGCCACGAGAATGATCAAGGACACGGCTACACATTCTTATGAGGGAGATTGAAAAGATTGAGATTGTTTACCTTACAAAGGAGACAAATAAAAGGGGATGTGATAAAACAGGGAATGGTCTAGAAGGCAGATCAGAAACTTCAGTTCTCACTGTTTCAGAACACAAAAGAACAGCAAGAGTTAATGAAACTGAAAGATGACAAATTCCAAAATGATAAAAGGAAATACTTTTTCGCACCACATGTAATGACTGTGGAACTTGATGCCATTGAGGCGAAGAATTTAATAAGGTTCAAAGAGGGACTGGACATTTATGTGGATAACAAGAATTTCCAGAGTTGTTACAGTTTATGCTAAGAAAAAATTTGGAACAGATATAAACCACGTGCCTTCAGAGTTTCAGCCAGTCTCAAACTAAGGGATCAGGATGAGACCTTCATGGGGGGATATTAGCCTATATCTGCCGACTGTGGGGTTCTTCCACCTTTCTCTGAAAAATCTGGTGCTGGCAACTAACAGACACAGGATATTGGGCTAGATGGATCATGGGTCTGATCCAGTCTAGCAATTAACGTGTTCCTACTTAACAGGAGTTATTCGTACAAAAAGAGAATGCAGGCAAATTGATTTAAGTATAGGAACAAAGAGAAGACAAATCATCCTTGTCCCCGATGGAAATCTCATGATTATCTGTTCTCTCAGATTACATGACTTTCTCTTTACAATATGTGGTGCTACTGACCCCACTTCAGCCAGCTGCCAAAACACTCATCAACTCTTCATGTTTATGTTTGATATGGCTAGAAAAACCCCTCAGAAATGAAGGCACTACAAGCAGTAAATCACAAAAAATCCTCACTTCTACCTGGGAACAGATTAAGCAAATGAGGAAACCACATGGATACACATTTCCCACCACAAACACATGTGCAATTAGAGTATTTAGTCTATGCACAAGGGAAGTCTAGCATCAAGGTCAGCAGCTCAAAAAATAACGTTACAAACTACTGAAAATCAACACACTGATTTCCATGGAGGTTGTAGAGATGTGACTAGAATGAAGCTGGTGTACTAATGTGTCTCAGCATATCAACAGAACCATTTACAAAAAGGACACTGCCAAGATAAATATACTAGGGGCCAAATGCTGATCTTAGTTACACCCCTATTTTGAGAGCTGGATACAGATCCATCTAACTGGGGAAGAAACACTTACGCATGTCACTAAAATCTAATGCACCTTTTCCATGATTTATATTGCTTACTTTTTTGCATTCCATTCAGCCAGGATAGTTAAACTAGTAACCCTTAGCACAGGTGATGCTCTCTAGACACTGGAGGACCAACTACTGTCAAAGTTTAACTTAACTTCACTGGAAGAAAAAGGTCATGTGGTTTAGGCATTCGACTGGGAATTGTGTTCTGTTCCCACTCATTTGCAGACATCCTGTCTGATCACGAGTAAGACCACTCTCTCTCTCTCTCTGAGCCTAAGTATCTCATCTATAAAATGGGGATAATAATTCCTTGGCCTCATAGATGGGTTGTGAGGATAAATTAATTTGAATGAGTGGCTCACATGCAACAGTGATGAGTGCCAGAGAAAGGCTTGCAAATAAAACTAGTAATGACCATTTTTAGCCCTTTTCATCCATAGATCTCAATGTACTTTACTATGGTGGGGAAACAGTAATCCCCATTTTACAGATGGGAACATTGAGGAATGATTCCTTCAAGGCCATTCAGTGAGTCACTGACAGAGCAGGAATAGAATCCAGGTCTCCTAACTCCAGGGCTGGTGCTCGTTCCTAGCTTGCTTAATTTCACTCTCTTTCCCATCAGTTCTCAGGCACTGCTGTTGCGTTTAGGTTCATGGGGGGATGTTTACATTAAAAATACCCTGTTCTCACAGCAATCTAAAAAACCTCAAACACACCTGCATTTCTCTTCTCTTTTGATATGTTTTTGACTGCACTTCCTTGATCGAATTCCTTTTAGCTATTTATTTGATTTTAAACATTTTAACAGGCAATTGCACAGGCTAAAGGATAATATTAAGATCAATAATCTCTGCTGCATCATTCTACTCTGTTGCCATTTATTTTCATGCACCCTGAAGACTCTAGTGAGTGTGTGTTAAAGAAAACTCAGCAGACGAAGCCAGTCTCACTTTTCTCCTCCTCCTCCTCTCCTTGGTGAGGAAGTGTTGTTTGACTGCTCATCCTGCTAGCTAACAGCTGTTTCTCATCTTTCCCAGGCTAATCTCTGAGCTGTTTCCTTATCCCCAGTAACATTCCTTCCCAGAGCACTTACGGAAGGAAGACATTTGAGGCAGAGATTTCTTTCAGCACCTCTCTTGATTTCTGAAATAGTGGATTGGTTGCCAACAGGCTGCTCTGTGCTTTTCCTGAGATCAGGATGCTCCTGCAAAAAGGAATAGGTACTACTCCTCATTGCCAGTTCTTTATCCATCTTCAGGAGAAAGACATTTTCTTCCCTGCTAAACCAAACTTTTGTCAGTAACTTGACTATGCAAGTGTTCTGGGGCCTGCCACATAATTATCTCAGATGACTTGTCACAAAGTTACTGACCCTTTAACCTCTATGTACCTAGTTCAAATCCAGCCAACCCTGGCAATGATGCGTGTGAAATGAGCTGTCGGTGCCAGTTTCTTGCACACAGGTGTTCGCTTTATATAAACTCCATTGTAACAGATCCCTTTGCTGGCACTCTGAGCAGTGTGGCCAAAAAGTAAGCCATGGAGACTTAATTACCCTCTGGACCCTAGAACAGAGTTGAAATACTCTAGTGGGGCAATGTGGCACAGCATGCATGGTCACTGCACATACTGTGCTTGTTCTGTGTATCAGGATATGACTTCAGTGTAGCACGTAGCAACTTTCACCATGCTAAATTACCTAACAAAAGGTAATGACATTAATGGGTTAAGGAAGAAAAACATGGAAACCTCAGATTGAGTATCTGAATTATCTTATACATAACAAACAACACTTGGCAAGTACAGTGCATAGTGATGTTTATCTTTGAAGTGCTTTACACATATTAAAGAATTAAACCTCATGGGATGCTAAATTAACAGATGTGGAAACATAAATTGTCCTCTTTTCACAGGTGGACTTAAAAATGACTTGCTGTAAAGCACTGGTAAGAATCAGTATCAGGAGTATGCCGCCAGCACTCCAGACTCCCAGTCCTGTGCTCAGATCACGTGAGCACCCTGCTTCTTTCCCCCAGCCCTATGCAGTACCTGGCAGTGGCATCGTGAATATTGGAGTTCTTGTTGTCCGACATGCTATCCTCTCTCGTGATCTAAAAGGAAATGAACATGAAAATAAGTTTCCAAAATTTAATTCCATCTTTATGTCATGTTAGAGATTCATGGGAAAATCTGGAGTATCCCTTTTCAAAGGGATGTGTCTGCTATTCAAACAAAGCAGAGTCAATTATTTTTTTCTCATGAAAACCTCAGTGCTAATGCAAAACAATCCAGCCAGGTCCTCCAAGAAACAATTATCATTACTTAATACATCTGCTAGCACTACAAGCACCAAGCTTGTTCAGATCCTTATCTCTGTTGAAAGGAAAAGCTGGAATATGCTGAGAGGGACCCCATTAAGACCCAAGACCAGCAAAGTAGTCAGTGTATCTCCCTCTGAAGGATGGAGGGCAGTTCTACTCTGCCACTGTTTGACCCCCTAGTTACACAGAGCCTTCATACCTAAAGACTAGTCCCATACAGCAGCCTCTCCAGGACAGCGGAGTATCAAGAGAGTCAAACTCAATGCAGAGGGTTATGCTTTGGGGCTTGTTGATGGTGTCCCCTCTCGCCAGTCCTAAGGGGAACACCTGAGAATGGCATAATCCTTCTGAGCAAAGTATGTACCTTGGGCACTGCCTCTGCCTGGGCCTTCAGGATGTTGCTCTTTATGTCTGCAGGAAGACGCTGTGATGTTGTTACTGGGCTCTCAATTGCGTTATTAAGACACTTATCTGTCAGCTTCACCACCTCATCCTAGAAATGGAAAATGTTCATTAGGAGCATCCCCTCCATGACAAAACCTGGGCTGGGCTGAGTCCATAAACATCAACACAAAATGCTAAGCAGCAAGGCTTCAGTGGGGGAAAAATATCAGAAAAGATGAATATTCAAAGAACAGAGAAACAATTTCTGACTTTGTTTTTAAACTTGATTGAATAATAGTAGTTAAAGGGTTAACTAGCAAGGGTCTGATCCTACACAGCACAGGGGCTGAGTGTTGCATTTAACGCAAGGCAAGATGCAGTATGCAAGAAGTGGACAGCATGGGACTCTGATCCCGCAATAATGAGCGAACTGCTGCAAGGCCACAGTTACACCTCCTGACTAATAACAGCAGTGAGACTTCAGGGGAGCACTGAGTGAAGTTCTTCATTACCGTGTTTCATCAGTCACATTTGTTAGCCCCACCCAGCTCTTCTCCACCTTGCCCAGGTGAATAAGGGAGTAGGTGCATAATGGGGGTGTTAGACTTACCCACTGCTCAGTGCAGATGATTGTGCCGGGTGCTTAGACTTACTTGTGTTATGTGCAGTGTCCATTTGCCTTGTGGAGCAGAGCCCTTGTGCACAATACTGGACAGTACACAAGGACATGAAGGATCAAGGCCTTGGTGCTTACAAAACGCTCTCAAGACTAAATGTGCTAACTATTCTAAATCCTATCATTAGAGAAATGATGCATTTTACTAATAGCATCTTGGCACAGATCTGTTTCTACAACCCTGTGCGCATAATGCTTTGTACGAATATAAAGGCTTTTGAAAACCAGGAGCTAAGAATTTACATGAGCAATGCACAACTTTCCACACCATGTCACTCTGGTGAATGTAACCATATGGAATTACTCACCTAGCAACCGGATGGGGTTTTTAATACAGTTTTAAATCCTATTAATGTAAACAATGAGGTACCTACCATCTTAAATTAATTTATCCCAAGTAGGCAGCTGAACATTTGCTCTCAAATGCAGCTTCAAGAGATTTTTTTTCCTTAGACCCCAGTAGTATATTAGACTAAACAGCCAGACATATAATGCTCTCACAATACTTTTCCCACTAAATTACTTCAGAAGTAAAGTATTAGTCAGACGCACACTGAGATCAGTCAAAATCTGCAATATCTATTCTACAATGGTTTTGGGTTTTCTGGTTATATGTACTATTTTTCTTAACTGCAAAGTATTAATCAAGTTTTCAGTCTCTGCTAACTGCTATGTTATTAGTGACAGATGCTAATCAGCTGAGTGGAAACTAAACCTTTTGACCCTTCTCTTCAGGGTGCGACTCAGCAGGGGAAGTTCCAGAGCCCTACATTCCTCACTTAAGTCACTTGATAAGTAAGACTGATTCTTCTTCTGCAAATCTTCTCCCCCTACAGTGCTCAACGTATTGCCAAAATACTGCAGCCCTTAAACACAAGAGAAATCCCACTGAAGCCAGAGGAGCTGTTGGTGTGCACAGAAAGGGCAGTATTTAGCGGAAAGCATTTTTTTTTTAAACTATCCATGCTCCTCACCAAAGCCAACAAGAGAAGGGTAACCCCTTCACTGCTGACTGACATCTCCCCTTCACTCTTAATCCTTTCCATTAACTGGAATGACAAGTGAGGAAGATTTTCAGTGAGAGCTGCTGGATGTTCAGCTCTTTTGAGAATCAGGCCACTTATTTAAGTGTCTAAGTATGGATTTATAAGTCTAACTTTAGGCACACAGATTTAAAAATATTGGCCTAAGTCAGCAATACCCAAAGGCAAAAGTTGGTCCAATCTTAAAGGGCCACTGTCAATGTAAAATAGGCTGTTTTTAATTGTTGCCAATAATTTTTTTGGGGGGTGGGGGGAGAAGAGGGAAGACACATTCACTCTAAATATATGAAATGCTAATAAAAATATTTAGTGGATGGTTTGTAACTTTATGGAATAGTTTAACAAAAACAAGATTTTTATTGTACCAAATCATTAACCCTCCCCATTAATTCTCCCCATATCCTTGAGATCTATCCTTCCCTTCTCAGTGTTTCCATCTCTCTATATCTTCCCTACTGTCCACTCTTGCTGAGTGCTACATGGAGGGCCAAGGGGAAAAAAGTTAGAATATTCAGATATTTGCAGCATCTTTATGTAATTTTCCAGCCCTAGTTAGAGTGTTTTGTGGATACAACAGTCAATATTTGACAGGAGAAGCGAGTAAAAGAATCACACATATGGTCATTGTACTGACTACTCCACTGCTTTGATTTCAACAGAATAAAGTCTCTAATAAATGTCATTCCAACCTTATTGCTGTGGAATATCCTTACAAATTAATCCAACCACACCGAGTTTCAGAGTTAACATCCCACTCAAAAGAACAGGAGACATTTCTGATCTCTCTGAGCTAACGATTAAGGGCCAAATTTTCGAAAGTGCATATCGTCTACAAATGGGGCCAGATGTTCTGACATGCCCAGCATCCAGCAGCTCCTATTGTTTTTAGAAGGATCTGCTTCATGTTGAGCACTCATAATGCTTAAATCAGAGCTGAGCTCTTTTCAAAATCTGGCCCCGAGTATGTCTGCAGACTCACTACATCTTCTCTGCACTGGTTCACATTTAGAAGGTTATTGCTGCAACCAGATTGTTCTATAAATGAAAGCTTTACATTCTGCAGAAAACATTGGAATTACAAAAAATCTAGAGACTCTCAATAGGTATTACAGTATGGAATTTCTAAAATTCATTGTTCCAGTAGTGCTACCAGGAACTTTGATTATTAAAACTAAAAATATATATACATATTATTTACTTTTCACTATTCTGTGGTTTATTTTTGTTGCAGTTTCCTCAGTATGGACAGTGAATCTAGCCCAATCACTTTCAATCTTCTTTACCACCAGTTTCACTTTCTGGTTCTCATGCAGTAGCATGTGTTTAGGTTCCCAACATTGTAGGGGAAATATTTAAATAAAAACTTATTTTTTTCTTTTAATGCCAAGAAAACATTTCTATTCAGATTAACATACACCTCCCTGCGCCAGTTTTATTTTGTGTTACAGGAAAGGGAAGAGTAGAGAAATCAGAAATGGTGGGGGGATAAAATATTTGGCACATGACACCAACTCACAATATCTAAATTACATGACATTTAATTTGGGTAGTTGGCAAAGATATCTAACTCTGCAGGTTTCTAGATATCCCAGGTCCATGGCAGTTCTCACTGTTCCTGCCTAGTGGAATAAGCCTAGACTGTTCATTAGTAGGTATCTGATCTATACAGCATATCTATAGTACATCAAATTACATCTGAAAACTATACAAACACTGCAATGTAATGACAGAGGGAGAGATCTTCAAAGGCACAAATGAGAATTAGGAAACTAAATCCCATTGACTCTGAATGAGTGTTTGTCATTTACTTGTCTTTGGTACCTTTGAAAATCTCCCAGAGTCTGGTACATCCACACTGTCAAGTCACTTTTCCACTTTTCTTCATGATAATTTAAAGAGCACAAGACTAAGAAAACCAAAAAAAAACACCCTTAGGAGTAAAAACATTAATCAGGAACTAGGGCTAGGTTTCATTGTTCATTTCATTCTAGAAGCTGATGAAAGTGTATTTAAGAACTAATTGTCTCCTTTGTTAGGCTCCTGAGATTTGGCCAATGTTAGTCAAAAGCTTAGGAATGACAAAGTTACATGCTTCCATTCAAACAAAGTTTGGCAGCGAGCAGCTAGAAAACTCCAGCGACCGACTTGGAAGAATAAAGCCATTCATTCCACATTTGCAAATTCTCATTCAAGAGATTCTGCCCTTTCTAAGGGGATGGATAGATTGGTAGATATTTCCCTACCAAAGAACCAATCAAAAGTGGATGTAAATCTAGAATTCTCTAGAGATGATTCTGAGATACAAGCTCTGATCTTTACAGAAGAACGTTCAAGTTTTTCATCTAACAGAGTTGATGAACCACTGGCATTTGGAAAAGTTATTTTGCTCACTGGTGCAAGACACAGCTTTGCTTTCACAATCAGAGAACTAATGACCCATTCTGCTGGCAGTGCAATTTGTTATGCTTCTTACAACCTCTTGCCTTGTACATTCCAGCATGCTACAACAAAACTGGAGATATTTTATATATTATTACAAAGAGAAAAAGACATAGCATGCTGAAATTAACAAGCAAAAACACAGAAAGAGAAATAGCTGGGATAATAAAATAATCAAAAATACAGTTAACTTCAAAATTTTACTTTAATTATTTCTCTTTATAGTGTGGCAGTTTATAACTAGTCTGATGGGAACAGGTACCACAAGCCTGTCTCACATGAGCAGACTAGATAACAATGGGACTGCTTGCAGGATCAGGTCCATAATTTCTACATATGCATTTTGTAATAGATTTTAAATCAAAAAGGGGGCAACTCCCAAACTGGTTTTAACTACTGTTCTTTGGTCACTGTTTTGGGGATCATTTCATGAGAAACATTTGATCTACAAACTGACACCCTCTAAATGACCTTGAAATTTCCATCCAGCTCAAAATTGACCTCCTCAAACAATCTCTAGCTCTTTTTATTTTTAACAATCATTCTCAAATTACCACTTGCTTAGGCTGGCTCTACACTGCCACTTTTCGCGCTAAAACTTTTTTCGTTCAGGGGAGTGAAAAAACACCACCCTGAGCGACAAAAGTTTTAGCTCTGAAAAGCGCCATTATAGACAGCACTTTATCACTGGGAGCCGCGCTCCTGGCGACAAAGCTACCTCCGCTCGTTAGGGGGTTGTTTGTTTTTATCGCTGGGAGAGCTCTCCCCCACGGGGAGTGCTGCCACGGTTGCGCTGTAACGTGGGTAGTGTAGGCATACCCTTAGAGTCAGCATAGCTTGAAAAGCTTTAGTCAAACAACTTTCTCCTTTTCTACCAGAGGAAAAATACTAATTCAAATAGAGTTTACACCCTACATTTTCACAATAATCAGTTTTAGAATGTCATCCGCAGGTCCTTACTGATAGGTGTCTTTGCCTACAAAACTAAGTAGTCGTAGTATAATTCATCCTTAATTATCTAGGCCTCAACTGTGCAAAACGCCATTATCTAAACTGCAACATGTTGCCCAATATCTAGTAAACTGAAAATTCTTTTGATTATCCAGAACTTCCATTATCGAAAGTTATTCAGTGTCCTGTGTGATATCTGCATAATCAGGGCTGTACAGTACAGGCATCTGTTTGTTAGATTAGCTCATTATAGGAGTCTCAGTGTGTTTAGTTTACCTTAGCCACAATTTAACACTATGAACAGAGGATTTCATTCTATTCTCTCTTGATTTAATCTTCACAATTGTTTCCCTCTTTATTTAAAGCCAACAGGGAGATGAACAAGTCAAGAGAGTCTGAAATAAATTGTGTTCATTTGATTTTGTTTACATTCGGCATAACAAGACCCACAGGCTACCCACTAATCTTCTTAGAGACTTGGTAATCTTTGTAATGCAGTCACCAAACAGAAAGGTACACAAGGCATCCCAGTTGTCAGCCCTTAAAGGAGACATGAACACAATACCCAGTAGCTATGAGCATGCAGAAGCAACGGCCTTTTCTCAAAATAAGGAGGAAATGTAGGAATGGGCTCAGCAGTCACGCAAGTCAACCTACACATGCACTTCTCCAAACCTTTAATAGATCCTGATCCACCTTAACTGAAAGAGAAAACCCCCTTGACTTCAATGGGAGGTATATCCAACCTTTAGCCCTCCTGGGCTAATGCTGTGATGCAGTCTGTGTTGTTTTGCCTTCTCTTCCTATTCAAAATACAAGTATCCTGGGTTTGTAACATGGGGGGAGAGGACTGAGTTGCTTTTAACCAGATTGCGTTGTAGCAGCATCTGGAGGGAAAACTAACCCAAATTCTTGGGAAATAACAACGGACTCGTAGGGCTGTTATGGGAAAAGGATGAGATGCCAGACATGTCACCCTTAATTCTACGTGATGTTTGTTTACAAATACTTTTTATTAGGCTAATACTTTATAGACCAGGGCCCCATGCCCTGCCCCCCATAGCACCTTTTCTCGTATTTGCTTGAAGGGAACTACTGACATTAATGAATTAAGATGCACAACTCCCCTGTAAGGAAAATAAGCACGGTGAAACCTGCACTAAATATCCAAAGGACTGATAAATATAGGTTATTTAACAGAAGTGGTCTCCCAACAAAGAAACAGTTATTATCCCCATGTAATAATAATAATAATTTTTTGCAGAGGGTGAACATGAGGTGCATGGGGTAAAATCCTGACCCTACTAAAATCAATGAGAGTTTTGCCAGGGAATTTAAGTAACTTTTGTTATAATGCATGCTTTATTGTGTATTGGATTGACAAATATATTGGAAACAATAAAATAGACTAAAAGGTAAAAAACAAAACAAAAAAAAAAACCTCTCCCCCTCCTCTGTTCTTGTATGAAATTGAGTAGTGCACTAGATTGTGCACCATTTGCATACATGGGAGTTAGGCGTCCAGGCACTCTTGAAAATCCCACTCGGCACCTATCTACATATTTAGACATTTACAAAACCTTTGTAAATCTGGTCCTTAGCTAATTTCCAGCAGAAATTATTCACTTACCATGCAAAAGATTGTATAGAACAAAGTATATGCATTTGATTTGCTTGTCTCTCTAACATCATTTATAGACATTTTCGAACAGCCTGCAAGTGGGACATGCTAACCAGAAAGCAAAAGGGCTCTCAAAATCATCACAACACACTCAGTAACTTTCAGGAATGCAACTAGAGTACCTGTTTATTAATATTGACGTTTATGTTAGAACGGGGCGCTGACATCGGGCTCGGTTCTGTCTCCAGATGTTTCAGTTTCAACGTGTCTTCAAATGCTGAAAAAGATGGCAGAGACAACCTAAGGCCCTGTTAGTGCAGCTATGGGGTTATTTGGCATTTCAAATTTACCCTTCCTGACCACGAATTATCAGAAGATCAAGCTATCTGGGCCAGTATGAAATAAAGCTGCTTGTTCACACTTGAGCAATTTAACTTCCATGGATTGGTCTGTATGCGCTGAATCCAAAAGAGAGGGAGTCTTGTACTTGTACAAAGTTCAATACAAGTGTGGGAAGGTAAGTGAATCTGTGTCTCAGGAATTATTTGCAAGTACGAAAGTAGCTCCTCAGAAGAGAGTGCATTTATATCATTTATGGGTTCTCTCACATATTCTGTAAAGAACCATTATACTTTCTCTTGGTTCCGCACTCATACATACTTGATTTGAGAAATAAATTGCTCCCAGCCAAAACCACTAACTGTCAAGCCCTGCCTGGCTCTGTTGTCCTAAACAGTCACGGTAACGTTTATATGCTGCCACAGAGTTATTCATGACAAAAGACAACAACACAGTTTTAAAAAAAAATCAGAGTTACTCTCTTTAAAGTGGTAGTCTACTACCCAGCTTGCTGATTGTGCTATCATGCATGCTCCAGCAAGCTGGATTACTGGAGGAGCAGTGATGAAGCATGCAGGTCAGCTAGATTTTAGGCAGCTGTGGTGGTGCTATATCTTCAGCCTGGCATTCTTTCTGCTCTGCAATGGGGAATTCAAACCCTACTTGGGGAAAATTATTTTGTTTGCAAAAGTCTGCTAGCAGCTGGTCTGTGGGTTCCCCTATTACCACCACAGAGAGTGGATGAGACATCAATGAGTGGAGTGTGAAGGCTGCTCCCAACAAGTAAAAAGAAACACACCAGGGGGCAGTAATGATGGATGCCCACAACTGCAACAGGAATAGAACAGGAAAGGAGCGTGTGATGTGGTCATGTGGAAAATTTCCTTTTCAGCGGAAGGGAGCTGGAGCACCCCTGTCTCCACAACACCGTGTCTTGTAAATAGTGGGTGAGGCTAGAGAAGAAAGATGGGCAGCAGTTAGGGTGCTAGCCTGAGACTCAGCAGATCCAGGTTCAAACTCCCTGCTCAGCCACAGACTTCCTGTGAAACCTTGGACAAGTCATTTAATCTGTTTGTGCCTCAGTTCCCTATCTGTAAAACAGGGATAACAGCGCTTCTCTACCTCACAGAGGTTTTGGGAGGACAAATACATTGAAAATGTGAGGTACTGAGACACTAAGGTAACGGGAGCTATTTAAGTATCTAAGAAAGATAGATAGTCTATAGATACACCAGTAGGAATACCACGATGCTAGTAGTGACAGCTTGGATCACGTACTAGCAGGATTATAAGCCTTGATGCAATCAGCACACAATATGGTTGGAAATGCAGGCTATGGAAAACATAACACTACTATTTGTGCTGTTTCTGAATCCTGAAACGTATTTTTACTGGAATCATCAATATAGTTATATAGCATGTTCTATCTACCAAGACCTTTTGCCAGTATTGTCAGTGATACTTAATTTTCTTTTCTGAACTACAGTACAGTATTGCTGTGTGCTATTAAAAGAGCTCCTATATTATATTCAGGAGGTGGCTGTATTTCAGTGCTGAGCAAAGTGAGCCGTATACATGTAGTCTGTCATATCTGTAGAGTCTTTTGGGATTTTGGAGGAAAAATACTCAGTCATCACAATAATTCCATTATCATGTACCACTGTTTCTATATGGAATGATAACGGCAATGATTCAGGAAATTTCCTTACCAGCAGGATCTGTTTTTTCAGCAGCTGTCTCCTTTGTGCCAGGAGGAACAAAGCTAAGATCGGCCTCTTCTGGAACTCCTGCTGTCAAACTAGCAACAATCAGGCCTGTTGCTTCATCAGTGCAAGTCTCCAGCAACTCCTTGCTGTCTAGTAAATCAACAATCAGAGGCATGCTGCAAAAGTAGGAAGATGGACAGAGATAGGTAGAATCATTTCAGAAAAGTGACAACACAAGGCAAGGATTTAAAAAATGCAACCTCAGGTAAAAAAGCAGGTCACTTTCCTTTTCCTGTTGTTTTCAAGCACCCATGCACATTCTTTAAAAATTGTTTCAGATAACAAGTTTACACTGGTTTCCAAAGGAATTTAAAAATCTACAAGCTAGATACCTTGAAGAACGAGCTTCAAAACTCAGGACAGGTCCATATATCTCCACTTCTTCCGCTGTATGAAAAATCAGTTCATAGTAGAGGAAAAATTCTCTGTGGAGTGTGATCATCAGCACAGCATGACCAGACTGGAAGCAAAAAGTGTCTTCAAACAACCTCACTGGAGTCTTTGCATGCAAACATAGCAAATGGGAACGGCTGCGCTGTGTGACACCTTTACTTCTTAAAATACTCAAACAGCTAATCCAAATCCTTCCCGGCTAAGGGGAAGTTGGAACCCGAATCAAGATCTGGATCCAAGCTTTGTAAAGCAGAATTATCCATTGTTGTAAAGGTGGACAAGCAACTATGTAAATTTAGCTTTGGTCAAATCCTTCAGTACTTTTTAATACAAATTTAAAACAAAGATAGAATGTATCCCTTTGCAAAAAAAAGCTTTCCCCCATTTTTTTATTATTTACATGGCACTTTACAGAACAAAGATGGGTTCCCCTCCCCAGAAGAGCTCAGAATCTAAATTAAGGCCAGAATACCACAGGGAGAGGATGAGGAAAGGGAAAGACAAGGGCAAAGGCAGTAAGACTACTCTCTGTGTCCAAGGATCTAAAGGCATTTTGATAGACTCACAGCACCTCTGCAAGGTAGATATTATTTATTCTCATTTTGCAGATGGGAATGGAGATTAGAGCCTGATTTTCAAAGACGGGCATGTACAATTGTGTGTTCCTAATCTGTGTGTGGAAGCACCACATCTGCTCATGGAAACCAAATCAGCACTCATGTGGCCAGTCAGAAGTACAGTGGTTGCCATAAAAATAAATATTTTCCAACAGATACCACACCTTGGGATCTGAGATACCACAGATTGCCCTATGCTTTGAATTGGAAATAATGGTGGCATCTCAGATGCCAGATGTAACATCTGGTCATTGTCTTCATCTTTAATTCCCACCCATCAGCACAAAAGCGATGATGGGGCCAAATGAAGTCTGTCCGTCACTTTCTATCTTGTGCCAGTTTCATTAATCTTTAAACCTTTTTGTTCTATGCCATTCTTCAATGACATTCAAATCATCCTCGGTCTTCCTCTATTTCTAGTTCCTTGCACTCTGGTATGTATCACCCTGGATGACATTATTTCTGTGTCCATTCTTGACACATATCCAAACAATTGCAGTAATCTTTCTTGAATCTTCGGTAAGTGTTATTTCTTGCCCTAGCCATTTCCTATCCCATTTTTTATTTTCTGCAGTCTTGAAACTCTCAGTATCCCCTGAGCCAGTTCATTTCTCCAGCCAAAATCTTCCATTCATTGCCTTTCCTCATATTCCAGCATTCCAACTCATATAGCCATATTGGCATGACAGTTGTCTCATATACACTAATTTTTGTTTTTCTCAAAATGTCTTTATTCTTCCAGAACTTGCTGAATTTTCCAAATGGAATAGCAGCTAGTCTGACTCCTCTTATGTCATTTTCACCATTTTCATCCTTCAATACTAGTCCTCCAAAGTACACACATTTTTCCACTTGTTCTAGTCTTTGTCTCAGAGTTTGATCTTTACCTCTTTCTCTTTTCTTCCAAATGCCATGTTTTTTGTCTTCTCCACGCTGATCTTCAATCTAAATTTTCTACTTTCCTGGTCTACCTCATCATTATTCTCTGTAAATCCTCCTTGGTCAATGCTGAGAGGTCAATATCATCTGTGAATTTCAGATTATGCACTGTCCTACCCCATAATGTGACTTCTCCCATTTCACCTCTCAGTGCTACAGCCATTATTGGGTCTAGTACCAAGCTGAACAAATCTGGTAATAGCGTGCATCCTTGTTTCACTCCTACAGTTGTCCTGAACCATTCCATCAGTTTGTCTACTCCCACCACTCTCACTGACTTGCCGTAATGAATTTTTCAGGAACACCATACATTATCATAGCATTTGGCAGAAAGGATTATAGCAAGTTATCAAAAACCTGATGTATTAGTTCTCGTATCTTGCAATAAAACCCACGTCAAATTTCTCTTCACATATTCTTCAGCTTATTTACACTGCTTGCTTATCCAGTTGTTTTTGGGTCTCTTTGCTTTCTATTTTATCTCTATTGAACTCAGATCTTTCATCCTCCTTTTTATTATCCTTCAGCTTCCTACGCTTGTCACTTGACTGGCACACTTCATCTGTTACCCACCTTGATTTGTGTGGTTTGGCTTTGTGGCCCAACACAATTTCAGTCTGAGCATTGATCTGCTAAACCCAGGGTTGTGAGTTCAATCCTTGAGGGTGCCATTTAGGGATCTGGGACAAAAATTGGGGACTGGTCCTGCTTTGAGAAGGGGGTTGGACTAGATGATCTCCTGAGGTCCCTTCCAAACCTGATATTCTGTGATTCTATGCATGGGGAGATATCAATCACAATCAGGGGACCGAGGCTCAGCAGACATGCAAGCAAGCAAATGAGAGAGACTGTCCCTCTGTCTTGCTATTGCTGCACGCCCAGTGTGGAGGGGCAGGGGCTTCAGGGTATTTGGAGGCAGGCATAAGGCAGGCTCTGTTCCTGCAGGCAGAGCATAATGTAGCAGCCTGCCTAGTGAATTGTTCCCATTCTTAGTGAATTCCCCCAAGATCATAGAACAGGTGTAAAAGTTTTAAGGCTCCCTTTACATGGCCAGAGTGGTGTAAAGGAGCCTTATTGTAAATGACAGTATGGCCTTATAAATACTTACAGTGCTTCAGTGATTAGAACTGGTCTAAATTTTTGGACTGAAAATTTTTCCTTTCAAAACATGCTCCATGCACTGTTTATTACTGACCTTTCTGTGAGTTTGATTCCCCAGCCCTTATTTGCTCTTCAGTTGCCCAGGATTAACACTGAGCATATAGTGGCATATATTTGTTGACTAATAACTAGAAATAAAGGGTCAAACCTAGCTACTATTACTATTAGACAAGGGGATCTTGGGATTTCCTCCAATGCTCTCCACTCCCATTCTCCATCCACTGTATTGTAGTTTAATAAATTATCAAAATAATTGAAATTGGCATGATTATTTTGACATATAAAATATGCAGAATTTTAAAATATTGTGCACAGAATTTTAAATTTTTGGCATAGAATTCCCCCAGGAGTATCGGTTGTAGCATTTCATATTTCTTTTTGCCTGTTAAATATATTGATAGCAATGTATGCCACAAAATATACAAAGTTTGTAATGTAACTAAAATAAAGTTACAGAGAGAACCTTGGCTTTTGAAATTTCCTAATTCTGAATGTTTGATTTCTCAACAGCCACACCAACAGGGTGGCCATCCCCTTTAAAGGGCCAGCCAATCTGGTTCAATTATCAGACCCAACTGAGAAGGGTTCAGATCCTATAAAGGGCTGAGAGCTCAAATGAGAGGAGGTGCAGGAGGGAGACAGGTTCCAGCAGTAGTCTCAGAAGCAGGGGGATTGAAGGAAGGTCCTCCTTTTAGTGCTGAAGGGGAAAAGCCCATGGGAGCTGTAGCCTACAGTGGGCAAAGGAACTGCTTTTCATTTTGGAGTTTTTAGTTTTAGGAGTAGAACTATGCTCAGAAAGAGACTTGAGCATGGCAGTGAATCCTTCCTGGGATGCTCAGAAGATACAACCTGACTGAATAAACCGAGACCACAGCTAGCCAGCCTAAAGCCAGACCAGGTAGGTAGCACTGTTGCACACTGCAAAACACTAGCATTAATGCGACCTACCAAAACAATTAACTAAACTCAAACATTCTGCGGCCAGGCTTATGTCAAAGCAGTGGTTGCTGCTGCTCGGGAGTGACTGGGAACTGACAGAGCACTTGTAGCAGGAGTGGAGAAAGAGAGATGGGACTGGGTTCCCTACCTCCTCTGGACCCAACACGTAACCCAGTGACCCATGTCCACGCTGGGGGCACAAGGGCCAGGCTGGGGTGCTGGGCCCAGCAGCCCATTTCTCTCTTCTCGCTCCAGTGGCACCAGATGAGGATGGAGTTTCCTTAATTAAAAAAAAAAAAAAAAGGGGGGGGGGGAGGGTTGAGAGTACACCAGGCAAGGCTTCCCCTAATAACTGCACCCCCACCGCAAGCAATCCATTCATAGGCTCCTTCCCATTAACAACTCCCAAGACCCAGCTCTTCATTCCCCGGCTGGGAAAACAGCCTTATCTTGATGCCAGTTGATGTAGTTAGCTCTGTAGTGCAAGAGGAAGCTGTCTGTGCTGTGGTACTCAAGGTTCACACCGTGATGATGTGAGAGGGGTGGGTTGTTACAGTTGCACACAATAGAATGGGTTGTTTTGTTTTTTTTTAAATCTTTTTCCTTTAAGAAATCATGGGAAATAACATGCAAAAATGTTAAAAGAACATTATTTAGATTGCACAGTCAAGCACTTGAAAGTTAGGAATTGCCAGATTTGCAGTGGCTTAATTCAGCCCTCTTGTGTGTCCTGCCTATGCACTGAAAGATCTGCTGTGGAAAAACTATTATATCAATGCGCAATTACTAACTGGGTCATAATGCATATGCACAAGTGAGCCAAATTAAGGTTGCACAGACCACCTTAATTCTGACATTTCTTAGCTTCGTGTGCTTGACTTTGCAACTTAAACAATATTCGTTTGATGTAGTTTTTGTATATCATGCATTAAGAAGTTGAGTATCTTTTTTACTTCTTTCATTTTTGGTTATTAGAAGGTGACCTGCAAAAGGAAGGCGGAAGAAATAGGTTTGTGACCTTTTTAAAGATTTTACAAAGAAATGGAAGGTGTTTAGAAAAACTAAGGAAGGCCGTTCTTAGCATTTCTAGATTTCTAAAGTGAAAGCAGAAAAAGGGCTTGGGAACATGTTTCAAACGTGGATTGCAAGCTCTCTGTTATTTAACAAGTAGGGTGTCAGAATGTTTTCACCCATGTGTTTGTAGAGGGACTGACAAAATCTGGACTTTTCTGAAGGCAACTCCCAAGCTGTTTTAACGTTACGAGCAATTCATTATTATTTCCAACACTGACTGTGTATTACAGGCTGGCATCTGTTACGAGGGGAGAGAAGCTTCTAAGGAACAGGTGCGGGTTGCAATGGAGAGATGAATGTTGTGTGGTCAGTCACCATTAAACCATGTGGTAATACTTCTGGGTGTTTCCACAAGGCAGGGGTAGTGTAGAGGAGGACAGTTGCTAATAAAGATTTAATACAAATGCATATCCCAGAATCGTTCAGCCACCTGAATAGATTGGTACTGACTAATGGAGGAGTCGGCTATCGTGTTGTATACATTCCAGGCTAAAAGATATTTTCCTGGAAGGGAAATATGAGCCAGGGGACTGGAAATAGGATACAGAACCTTTTACTTTTAACTCACCAGTTCAAATTCATCCATGCCGATAGTCACCAATGGCACAATTTTTAAGAGTGCTGAACATTTGCACCTCCCACTGCAGTTAATGACAAACATTGCACTTGCCAGACTGAATCAGACCTGCGGGACTGTCTAAGCCATTTCTCCAGTCTGACAATGGACAGCACTAGATGAGTCAGAAGAAGGTGCAAGAAATTCTGCAGTAGGTTGTAAACGTCTGATAATTTGTCCCCCATGAGATTCTCCTCCTACCCCCTTTAGTGAGGTTGGCTTAAACTGATGTCTGAGGTTTATTCTCTCTTCCAAATTATCTTGTGGTTTAGCATTTAATGTAACAATTCTGGATATTCTTGTAGCGGGTACTCAGCTCCTTCGAAAAACATCAGGCAACGTGTTACCACCAACTAACGTGGCCAAGGTAACCATTAACGGTCTTCAGTTCTCAGTCATCTAGCTTGGGTCCTCAGTCTTCTGTAGCTTACCCTTACGGAAATCAGGAGTAACGCCACTGAATTACACCAGTGTAAATACAGTGACAGAGAAGCATTAGATCCTTAGGAAGCAAGTGAGATTCAAACCCAGCTGGCAATAATATGTAACATATACAGTGCTAAAAAAAAATAATTCATTTCCAGGCTAGTCCATTCCAGTATAACCACTAGCCTGAGTTGACTTTTCACATTTGAATGAGCTGAGCTGTCCTTCCACATCAAGGTTTATCTAATGAATATGCCAACCAAGCTTTATCGATAGCGCTGCGGTAACACAACAGCCACCCAACGTGCCTTATACCACAGCCCACTAGAAGATGTAGCCAATTTCTTCATTCACAGAATCATAGAATATCAAGGTTGGAAGGGATCTCAGGAGGCCCGACTGCTCTCTGCCATCTGGATTTCAGTCAGTATCTGCAGTAACCACAACCACCTCCATGTTTACCTTGGAGCTAAACACAGGCTCTTGGATAACATATGGAATAAGTATAAAGCCATTATGAACATTTTAATAAAATAAGTATTTATCATTGTGACAAAGATCCAAAAATATTTTCAAAAAGTCGGATGTTTTGCCATGCCATGCCATTACATACACACACACACACACACACACTCCTGTTCTCTCTGGTGAGTTCTTTCTCTCTCTGTCACTCATGGAATATTTAGCTGGTAGGTAGAGTACTGTACCTGCTTGGTATAACAGATTTCATTTTTAAGTTTTTCTAGTACTTCTGAAATACAGAAACTAACACAGAAAAGTACTTTTGCTTTAGTAAGAAAACTTTTGTCTGAACCTACCACCACCAAACGCACAAATAAACCTACCTAAAAGGAGAATGAAGCTACTCTGGTCACCTCTGCTCACCTTATGGATCATTTATACACAGCGATCCTATCCTTTTTTTAATACAATGGTAAATGGAAACTTAAATTTCATCAGTAATCTGATTTTATCTCCCCTTCTACACTACTGCCAAAATATCTATGGAGAAATTGCAATTATGTCCTGACTATACCTACTTTGTTAGCACCTTCCACGTGCTAAACATTTGAAAGATAAAATTTGCTTTTAAAACATTAAATTTGCAATTAGCAATTTGAAAATTATTCAGAGAACTGACTCGATCAAACACGTTCAGCAACACAGACACTTTCTACTCTTAAAGCTGAATGGTGGAGAATTTTTAAAAGACCTTTGTACCCATTTTTCCATTTGGTTTTGGACAAGAGGTAGAGAGCATTACTGTTCTTAAACTAACTTGAGAGAGATCCCCTTCAAGAATTGTAGACTTGACCTTTGAACCAACAGTCATCTCCATGAATCACTTGGTAGAATGGGTGGTCTTCAAGCAGCCTGCACCATCTCATCTGGAGCACAGCGGCAGGGACCGGACAAAAGCACAGAGGAAACAGCGTCACAGCTTTGCATTTTGATATATGTTTTAGAGAAATTGTATCTTTTTCCAGGCTAAGCTATAGGTTTGATGGTAAGACTTGTTTGAAGCCTGGGACCAGTCTGTCAGTTTTTAAAAACCTGAGTGGTCTCTGACTCTAGATAGAGTCAATGAGACCACATACATGAGGAAAGGGTACAGTATCAGGTCCTCACTGCTGCATGTCACACATAATTCTATTATTGTTTTCAGGTAAGGGGCGGGGGGGGACATTTAATAATACATATGGTTTCTGTAAACCCAGATGAGTTTGGGATACGCTCTGCAGATTTCTGGAAATATTGACACCCCCTTAAAGCTAAAATCATTATCTGGAAGGGTCTAGTGTGACTTCTGAGACTCCAAACTGGACTAGCATCAGGCCATAAAACCAATGAAGTTAGAGCAGGCCCAAGATTCTCAATAAGCCAGTGAACTGGGTTATTGGTTCAGATGTCAGTGAGTGACTTTTTTAAGAAGAAGTGTATTTCCTAATTGCAAGACCACAAACAATGGAAGGCCCATTGCAATTTTTAGGGGGAAAATGTCCTCTTTTGGCAGGATGGAAACACAGAGGCATCTATAGACCTTGTAGCTTGGCAAACTCCCTTTAGACCAAAGATGTTTGTATGGCATGACTTTCAGAGCCCATATATCCTATTCCTAAATCAGGTGAGAGGGGTGTAGCAGAGCTGTGGGTAGAGACAATGGCCAAATAGGAAAGAAAATCTGTGATCTAACGTGATAGTATATTGTATTGACGACTATGAATGTGGAGCAAGTTTACACATACAGCGCTGCAGTGCGTAGCGAAGACACAACCTACACCAATGGGAGAGCTTCTCCCGTCGGCATTGGTATCCCACTTCCCCAAGAGGCGTAGCTCTGTTGACAAGAGAAGCCCTCCTGTTGACACATTGCTGTCTACATCAGGATTTCAGGCGGTACAACTGCATCGCTCAGGGCTGTGGATTTTTCACACCTCTGAGTGACTCAGTTATACCGACATAAGTCTATGTGTAAACCAACCTAAGATCGATCTCTCACTCTCTCTCCCACACACGTGAGTGTCTCTTACTTCAGACTATTCAAAATGTTTCTGTTAATGAGGTAAACTCACTCTGACAATTTCAGACACTAAAAAGGTATTTTCCCATAGTTAGACTATTTCCCAAACTATTACTTCAAACCAGTTATTTTAGTAACAATAACAAAAATACTAGGGAGCTAAAACACACATTGCAAACTGTTTTCTGGAATAGCAGTAATAGTGTTTATCCAAACTGGGGTGGAATGTTGCTAGGAGGACACTGACAACAGGCATAGGATCGTGCCTTTGGTTCAGTGCATTAAGAACTGAGTTGTTCGTAAGTGTACATATAGATATGGACCGAGCTATTCCACTAATAGCAAAAGTCTTAAAACCTTCCCTACAGTGAAAACCAGGGAAGAAACATGGTTTTCCTACACAAGCAATCAAGACATCCTTCAAAAATATATTCTCTCTGCCTCCTTCCCCATCCCCCGCAATTCTACTCTGTACCTTTTCAGGGGCTCTGGTTTGTTTTGTTTTTTTTAAATAAAATAATTTCATTTAATTTCCAAGAAACATTTTCAAGTAAAATAACTACAGAACTTGTTACCAACAGACTTAGAGTGGTTGAACTGAAAGTCACCCATTTCTCCCATGCTTTTTTAAACAAACTATTATGGTGCAAAAGGAAGGGCAGTTATACACCAATGATGGTCCTCTGATTTAGTTCAATTCCTGAAATCTCACTTAATACCACAGGTGCAATACCCAGTTTTGTTATAGATGCAAACTCCTGCAGGGGTCCTCAGAGTTACCACCAGCTAAAATCCTTTAATCGTTAAGAAAAATCTTAACACATTTAAAAAGATACACATACTCTTTTCAGTACAAGAATACCTGGGGTAACAGACCAGTAGTGTATATGCTAATTTTTCTTTAAAAGATTCAATACAACAGCACCATATGCAGGGGCCTTCGCACAAGGTCTGGGTATTCCTAATCAGCTCTGGGTCCATTGTCCTTATCTTAGAGGCAACTCAGAAAATGTAACGTTCCAGACTGTGTTACAGAACAGCCTCAAGCTCCAAAAAGGCCCACTTCTCATAGATCGGTCATGGTAGTTTGGACAGCATAACCAATGGCATCACTATGAATTCCTGCATTCTTCACATTGCGCTCATGGACAAAATCAGTGTAGTGTCTATCCGCAGACTGGGTCGAGGGCGGGGCCCATGCGTTCCATACACTTCCACCACGTTGACGGCAGTCATCAGCATCAAAGGGCCTGGATCATTGGGGATTGGGAGGGTGCACAGTTAGTAATTAGCAACGGAAGGGGAAGGGGTGGAAGACAGTAGGAGGTGAGAGGAAGGGAGGGAAGAATGATGTGAAAAAGAGTAATAAGGAAGAACTAAATTGCCAAATGTCAAACACCTAATAAAGGAAGTGTGCAAGGATATACACAGAATAAAATAGCTGGAATGTCAAATTAACCTCTTAATTGCTGCTGCCAGATTGTATATGTACTTCTGCAAAAGCTTCAAAATGGAAAGTCAAGGCATCCCATGTATGTAATGCTTGTAACTTACAATGTGCTTTTCATCTATATATTCCAAAGCATTTTACAAAGCTAAGTGTTATCCCCATTTTACAGATGAGAAAACAGGCGAAGACACGAAGGAATACACCTCCTTGAAAGAGTGCTTTACATGTTTAGCGGCATTAAAGGGTTTGAATGACATGTCTCAATGCACAGTGGAAACAAGCTACTGCATGCAACAGCAAGGTTTAAAGCTACCAAAGAAGGCAGGTTCTCAAGGCAAATGAAAAGAGGGGGAAAGGAGGAAAGAGGACATCATAAAAACAAGCATTATAGTCAAAGAAGGGATCACTACAGCACATCTTTCACATTTCATTAGCAGAATTCACTAAAGAACCTGATCATAGCTGTACTTGATTATCTTGAATATGATATGATATGATTATATGATTGGAGGTGGATTATTTTAGGAAAAGGCCAAGACTTTGTCTTCCAATTTGTTTGAAAAATGTAGCAATACAAAAGTGACTATACATTGCCAGTGCTAATGCATTCCACACTGGGAATAAAGTCCTCAAGGGCTTAGGAAGACTAACAGGATACAGCACGATTCATGTATAAAGCACTGTCCTGACATTAATATATTTATGCAAGTGCCAAGTAATTCTTATGCGGGAAGCAATATGGCCTTGGGATAATTAACTTGGTCCACTGAAACAGACACCTGCATGATTGGATTTTAGAACTTTTAAGCGTTTTCTTATAAGAAGCCTCAAGATGGAAAAAAATGAACCAACATGTAGAGACTGTTCCAGCATTGTTTTCTCTATCCGATTCGGAATCCCGCATTATAATGGTTTACGTGAGGCTGACATACACTCTGTAAGACACGCTCACAAAAAAACAAGCTCTCTCTTTTTCTCTAAGCTATTCAAGGGAGCAAATTCCTAAAATAGCCCCCTTTAAATAGCGTAATTTTAGAGTCAGTCATTTAGTTTAACCATAAACAAGTAAGTGGATCATCAGATACAGCTACAAAGTGTTCATATTTCATCAGGTCTCATGTCCCAGTAAGTTCAGTTTAATACTTTTAACCACACCAAAACAATTGAGCAGGCAGGACATTAGCTAAAAGATCGCATTAGACAGGGAAGCAGAAAAGACATGCAGGATTCACAACAGGGGTAAATGATTAGACAGTCCTCCTTTAGAAAGGAGAGAAGATTTGCATAACTTTCACCCACAGGAGCGCAGAATTTTGTTCTTTGCAATGCATATTGTGAAGAAATGGCATATGAGGTCCAAAAGTTAAAACAGCCATCAAATGGTTTGTTTTTAAGTTATTCCCTAATTTTTATAATTTAAGAAACCAAATGAAAAGCTGCTCACAACAGGAGGTAGTAAGATCTCTGCATGCTCCCTGACACAGAAATAGATTTGCTAACCTGTTATTGCTTCTTCCCCGTTTTATCCCAGAAGCAACTCTTTTAGTCCAGCACAAAGCCAGAAAGATGCTGCTTGTGTTTGGGGACCTCCAGTTTTGCAGTTAATACCTCACATTGTTTGATGGTTACATTTGGATTTGTATGGCCAAAAGGGTGCAGAAACCTCTTCTGTACTGAGGAATTTAAACAATAGAGCAGAGGATTTCAAAATCAGAAAACAAAAAGACTGAAAATCCTTCTTATGATCTGACTCATCATTTTTGATGACACCTGCAGTATTCCAGTTTTAAATTAAAGGAAGGGCTGTAATGTAGCCAGTAGAGGGATCTGCAAGGAACAACACCCAGAAATTGACAGGTTAGATCCTTAACCCTAATCCATTCACCCCAATCACCACTATAAAAAAATAACCTGAAATATTTCAGTGTTTTCAGCTATCCATGGACATTATTTTTCAAAAAGGAGGACTGTTTTTCTGTGACAGAAGCCAAAGCCAATACATGCGGAAATAGGCCAATTAAAAGCAGAGAGCAGTTTAGAAAAAAACCCATTAGCTGCAACAAGACACTAAGATACCAAGTCATGTAAGTCACAGCTCTCCAACTAGACACATATGTTTCAGCAATGTGTCCACCAAACCCCATTTCCAGCCTGTGAAACTTGAATGCAGCACACATAGTTGACTACACAGCTCCAAACTGTTCTTTATTTCCCCATTTTAAGGCTAGATGCATCCCTTACCACAGCAGACAGAACAGCTGCTAGCAAACCATGTTAAACCCACATTACCAGAAAGAAAGCTGCTCCATAAGTTACTACAATATTTTTTATAAACACAGAGAAAGTTTTATTTTCTTCTAAGTGAATTATTAAAACTGTGTCAAGTAGGAATGGATGTTTTCTTGGGGTATGTTACATTAGGTAACACACAGATAAATTTTACGTTCACCCACCCTCTTCTACAGACAAACTTCCTTCTGCAGCTGAATCTAGCAAAGAGCTAGATTTCCGGACAAGGTCTGTCAGCAACACAGGTTCAGGCTCTTAATCCTAACACAGGCACACTGGGATCAAAACTACCACAGATGGGCCTGTAAATTCTCTCAGCTTCTGAACAGAAGTAATGGAACTTAAATATAGAACAGAAACCTTATTACTGCTACATAACAGTATTGCTACCACCATAAAAGACCTATGTAGAGCCGTTTGGAGCTGGAGTCAAATGTTCCGAACGAAGAAGTTACCAGATTCTAGCAAGCACCTTGCAGTTAGACTGAGTAAATACAGAACAAAATCATACTGAGAAGGCTGAAAGAATAAAGATACAACCACCTTTCACCCACCACCACCACCAGGGAAGAAATCGACCGATCAACGAGATCACCACAGACAACCCAGAGATTTCAGATACTAGGCAAATCAAGGGCAAAAGAAAAAGAGAAAGCACCATTTCATCAAATGTTTTGCAGCAGAATTACAATGCAGCAGATGCAGAGCAGAATTATTCTCCCTCTTTAAATCCAAGATCCAGTATATTTAAAAAAACCCCACTTAATATGTAATTAGTTAGATTTGTACAATGCAGTTCTTTACACCATTACTGTCAGGTATTAACCATATTTACATAGTTTTGTCTTTAAGAGACATAAAAGCAAAACAGAATCAGATTCTAGCCAAATGGAGGACCTTTTCTTTTGAGGACTGAAACCGCTTAGGATAAGAGCTTTAAATCCATTGCATCCCATCACAGCTGCTTCTCAAAGCCTAACAAATTAGAGCTCCATTTCCATTACTGCATCCCCATTTGAAGTCACAACCCATGCTATAGGAGACAACGAGTGAAAAGACTAAGAGCTGCTCTCTCAATCTCACCCAAATTCTGGTATATAAAGAGCAGACATTTTAATTAAATGAAATCAAGCTCTTATCCTTCAACCATTTCAGTTTCCCCAAACAAACTCCTCCTCTCTTTGCACTGTAGAGTTAGTTTACCCATTGCATAAGATTTCTGGGACACATCCAGAAAGAACTTGATTTATGATTGGCACGTTTTTCCCAGGATCTAACAGGATAAGTCTCTGTTCCTGGGCTGCATGCCTCCAGACACTGGGTCACAGAGACTATGTTGGCCGTAGAGGGTGGAACAACTCCCACCAGAGCTAGAAAATGCTGCAGTAGATTCCTCCATAGGAATAGCAGCAAAGATTCCCTCAGAAGCTGAGCAGGTTGCCTCTGCAGCACTCTCCGCCTGGCCTCAAAGCACTGATCCAGCTTTATCACCACTGACCTGACCCACAATTTATTCTTCTCAAAAAGACAATACAGGTAGTTTAACAGCAGATTAACTATAAAAAGAAAGGCATTTGGACTGTATATAAGCGAATGACCTTTCCCTTTCAATCAAAGAAACTAGCAAGGGTCTGCAGAACGCACCATTTCATGTCTTGCTGGCTGGCTCCAGGGCTCCTAGGAAAGTTTTCTATTTCCACTAAGACTGGGCCAGACGGAATGATGACAGGCAGGGTCGGCTTTGCATTCCAGTTCTTGGGAAATAAAACAAAAACAAGCAAGTCATCTTAAACACTTTACCGCGTGACAGTGACACACAGAAAAAAACAACTCCTCCTCGTGCCCAAACATGAGGCTTGACAAGACGTCTCCCATAGATACTTCCCCCCACTGGAGATACATGTCCCACTTTTCAAATGCCAGTAACAGTACCAGGGTCATACTGGGTACAGCACTGCTCTTGGATTTGCAGGTAACAGCTGCAGCGCCCTCTTTCATTCATGGTTTGTCCCGGATGCAGCAACTGTTCCCCTCTGTGACTAGCTCTGCAACAGTGATCTGCAACTTTGTAACCCAAAAGCAGGATTACTGCAATTCATCTACCCCTGAATAGCACCCAGAAGCATCAACTGGTGCTGAATAAAGCAGCTAACCTTGAGCACCAGCACATCTGTTTGCTTCCTGATGTAGCTGAAGGGATTATACTTTTAATGGCCTAGAAGATCACCCCCTGGTGGTGTCCGATCTGCTCTGTTGCACTTACTGTCCACCCCTTCAGCTGACATACTCCAGAATGGGTGGCAGGGCATTCCTATTGAAGAGTCCACGCCTCTGAAACCTAACCCCTCTGGTGTATCATTCTAGTAACTGGGGAGGGAGGTGGTTATGTTTTCATAATGGTTGTTTTTAGTGACACAAAGCACCTACCATGCACAGATGCTGAGGGGATGAGTGCATCAAAAGTTTTATGAAAAACAAAAAAAAATTTAGATGTTGCCAGTAATTTATCCTTGATGTAGCAGAAGTACGTGTCCCTTTAAAAATACCAGAGCAGTAGCCCAGAACGCTAGTAAGAGATGGAAGCAAAACTGCCAGCAAGCTCTGTCCCTCTCCTTTGTGTGCAGTTTAACTTGCAGAGCATTAGTACAGTTTTGCAGGTTACTATAGTTCTCAAAGATCATACACAGTTAAACAACTTATGCATAATTTAATATGTTTACATGTTGGAGAGGGTGGGGGAATCTCCCTCTCCAGCTAGTTAGCTAAAATCCTCCATGCCGAGTTAACCAATGATCCCACTTGTCACTTAGTAGCTGAAATAAGAGTCTAGTTTAATGTGTAACTTTAGAATCAATAGTCAGTCAAAGGAAGCCACTGCATTTAAAAAGGTTAGCATAAGGCCCCAACTCTTGAAACTTGTGAAGACCAACGAAGCTTCTATGTTTAGGGAAACAGTCTCAGAAATGAATGCCGTAGAGATTGCCTTACTTGTTGTGATCCATTATTTTGATGTAAGACATTGTTCGGAATGCTGAAAAGCAAGAAAAATTTAAATCAGAATCTTTCAGGGATCAAGATATATGTTTATAAATTGTGTGGGGGACCAAAATCAGATAGATTTCAAGTAGAACAACAATTTACTAGAGGTCTTTCTACACCATTTAATCTAAAAATCACTTTCCAAATGAAGTTAAAAACCTTATGCCTGTGGTCAGCAACCTCATTTCAATGACAGCAGGGCTACCAGACTCCCAATTTGTTCAGGCTGGAGTTTCACTATATCCTGTCTGACTTTTTCCCTTGCCATTCCATGATGTCTAGTTGGATAATATGAAATTTCCTTGGGGCAAGGACAACACTAAGCAGGCATGCCTTTAACACTTAATGCAATTTTTGCATATACAGAGCCAGATTTTAAACATTCAACGTAAGACAGATGGCAAAAGTACCTTCCCTATTCATTACTGTTATACGCTCATTGTATAATTAACTTTGGACAGAAAATGGCTGAGATTACATAACTGCTATTATCTGAAGTCTCATGAAGTTGCACAGAAGGAAGGTTCTAAAGCAACAGTTTACATTGTATATTACAAGGCTACTCTCCCTACAAGCCCCAGAAGCCCAGAGTATTGCTAGCCCTAGTCAGATACTCAAAAATAATGAGTCAGGCCACCAAAAAATTCATGAGTTAAAAAACAGATTTTGGATTCTTTTTATTTGTCTTCTAATATCTGAGTCTGTAAATTGCACACATTTCACATTTTTAAGATCTTCTCCACAATTACAAGGGATAGAAACTTTTTATATTTAAATGAAAGCTGAGATTCTCATGTATTCACATGACTCCATGAGCAGGGGCTATAAGAAAAAACCCCAAATATCCTGGGAGATGGTAACACTGAGTCCAATCCATTTAGAAGTGGAAATCCAAATGTGTTCCCCTTCTGCCTTCTTCACTAGATGGATGGCAGCTGTAATAAAGGGTCTAGGGGAAGGGATGCTGAAGGAATTCAGGATTCAGTCTCAGATAGGGTTTCCTCACATGCTGGGCATGGGCAGAAAGACATGGAAGAGAAAAACACCACAGCCAACACACATACATGCCAGATATACAGATCTTAACCAAAAATGTTAAGACTTAGTCTAAAAAAAGCTTCTTTTCCAATCTCTCATTTTAAAAAAGAGTTTAATCCAGATTCTATTAATGCCCCAGTTGCTTCTGGCTGGGACAATTGGTATCATTTGCACAGAGTAACCATCCTGTCAGTCAACCTGCTGAGTAAACTGGTTTCAATATTTTTGAAGTCCTTTTACTTAAATAGCCCTATAGGTATAACACCAACCAAGATCATACAAGCTACACTCTGGCTGTTCTCTTACCGTGCTCTCTGCACTGAGGGGGAAGTGCAGAGTGGCATTACAAGTACACAGTACTGCACCTTTAAAAAAAATACTGAGGAATGCTTGTACAATCAACACATTCCTCACCGATGAGTTAATACAAAAGAAACAACATGCATCTTTCATGATGCATTTTAATTAGTGATGCTTGAGTGTGCAGTTTCAGAAACAGCACTCATTGCTCTGGGGGTGAATGTGCCATGACACAACACCAAGGTGAGTATCAGGGAAACTAAAGCCTTCAGCACTGGCAGGCGGGGAAATTGTACCGAGCTCTTCTTCCTGCAGCAAGGCTGGTTTGAACATGAGATTCAAGTAAAATGGCATACCGACAAAATGTGAAGAGCAATTATTAGCACTAATAAATAAACTACACATCTACCGCCCCTATCCGAGGATTTCAAAGCACTTTACAGACTTTAATTAAGCTTTCGAACACCCAGCATCACTGGGAGGTAGGTCAGTATTAACCTCATTTTACAGATGGGGAAAAATGATGCAGAGAATAGTGAAGAGACTTGCCCAGAACCATACTAAGGAAGAGAACCCAGAGGCTCAGCCCCTTACCCAAAAATTACTACAACCCCCAGACTATGAAGATGGAGCAAAAGCAACCTGGCTTTGTAGAATCTATCAGCTTCCTTGTCACTTCAGTTTCGAAGTATGGCTACACTTCACTCACTCTCTGTGACTTATATCTACCCACTCACGTCCTCCAATCTGGTCCTCAGTTGCTATTACTCTGCATATCTTGAACAGAGAAGGGGATCTCACTCTCTCACTAGCAATGGCCTATCTGAGTAGGGCAATGGTTCTCAACCTTTCCTGATTACTATACCCCTTTCAGGAGTCTGAAGCCTGAGCCCCACTGCTTGGGGCTCAAGCATGTAACTTAGCTTCGTGAGGCCCGGGGCAACTGCCCTACTTTGCCACCCCCGAACGCCAGCCCTGTACTTGCGACCTCCCTCCCCCCTCCAAGCCCATCCAGCAACTCCCACGTTCAGAAACAGTGATCTAGATGAGTTGACATACTCCTGGAAGACCTCTGCATAATCCCCGGGATACATGTACCGCTGCTTGAGAACCACTGGTGTAGGGCTCTTCCTTCATACCATTCAAGTCTCACCTCAAAAAAACTTCCTCCTTGCTGTAACCTATAGTTTACTCAAAACACTGCCTATCCTTTCTCCAATACAAATTCATCTTACGAACTCTTCCTACTCTCCCAATCTTACCTCCAACCTGTTTTCTTTTAGCTTCCCCGCCACAGCATGCATTTGCACTTTTACTGCTTTTAAATTTCATCTGCCTCTACCCACAGAAATTGCCAGATCAAATATCCCTTTGCATCAGTGATTACTGAATGGCGGAGAATAAAAAACAGCCCACAACAAAACAACCTACTGAGAGTTTTATTATGTTTTTAAATCTTATGTATTACTTCAACCAGGGGATTTTCAACCTGGTTTCTTTGGCGCCAGTTAATGGGTGGCAATCAGACAGGCCAGGGAAGTGACACCATTCACCTTGGTTTCTCTTCTCTGCTCTCCCACCCAGCCCCCACTGCTAGCTCCACCTAATGAGCTGGATTCGCATGGAGTTACTAAATGAAAACCCAACTATAAAGGAGGGGAGAACGTCCAGGAACAGGAAGAAACACATCAAAGAAAAACGAGGCCAGTCCAGTTACTCTGAAACATTAAATTCAATGAGCTAAACAAACCTAATTCCCCCTGGGCTCATGGAGGAAGAGCCAATAGCTTGTTGTTATAATCTAGTCAGCCTCGAAAGGAATATGATTTTGGCTCTGGAAATAGATGAAGCCCCTATGGAATGTCATTATAGAGGAGGCACTGTGGGAGAAGAATGATCTGCCAGCCTCACACTGGAAAACATCCAGGCCTATGTACCATGGGCAGTGGAGTGCAAGTACACTGGGGTGTTTGAGTGGGTTAGCTTGTCTTTATAAGCATGTGTGACCTTAAGAACCCCAATATTCACACCCTACACACTAGTGTACTGATCTTTGTACAAAATATGCCTTGTGAGGTATCATCTGAAAACAAATAACTCACTGATCATTTATATGCTTGCATAATGTATGTACATGATTTGTATTAAGAGTTATGGCTGCATGTTGGAATTATGACTAAAGTGTGTTTAAATTAGGCATATCAGAGGGAGCTGGTAAACAGGTCTCGCTTAAACAAAGGAACGTGTATTTGATTCTCAGACCAGCCCGATCTTCAGGCAAAGACAATTAAAGTCTTTTTTTTTTTTTTAAATATTAGGTAAACAAAGCTATTAAGCTAACAGAATGGGGTAAGAAAGAGCATGGAGCTTCCTTCACCACCCGACTCCATGTCAGCATCCTCACAACTTGAATAAACTATACTTTGAGCGTAACCCTCAGAAAAATCAATTTCAAAGACTTATTGGTGTACAAAGATGGGAGGTGGGGGGCAGGGAGCTGAACCTCAACTGATAAGCAATTGAATCCACCGGACCAGGGGGATGAGGTAGATGAGGCTTTCTTCCGGCAGCTCACGGAAGCTACTGGATCGCATGCCCTGATTCTCATGGGTGACTTTAATTTTCCTGATATCTGCTGGGAGAGCAATACAGCGGTGCATAGACAATCCAGGAAGTTTTTGGAAAGCGTAGGGGACAATTTCCTGGCGCAAGTGCTAGAGGAGCCAACTAGGGGGGGCGCTTTTCTTGACCTGCTGCTCACAAACCGGGTAGAATTAGTGGGAGAAGCAAAAGTGGATGGGAATCTGGGAGGCAGTGACCATGAGTTGGTTGAGTTCAGGATCCTGACACAGGGAAGAAAGGTAAGCAGCACGATACGGACCCTGGACTTCAGGAAAGCAGACTTTGACTCCCTCAGGGAACGGATGGCCAGGATCCCCTGGGGGGCTAACTTGAAGGGGAAAGGAGTCCAGGAGAGCTGGCTGTATTTCAAGGAATCCCTGTTGAGGTTACAGGGACAAACCATCCCGATGAGTCGAAAGAATAGTAAATATGGCAGGCGACCAGCTTGGCTTAATGGTGAAATCTTAGCGGATCTTAAACATAAAAAAGAAGCTTACAAGAAGTGGAAGGTTGGACATATGACCAGGGAAGAGTATAAAAATATTGCTCGGGCATGTAGGAATGTTATCCAGAGGGCCTGGAGCTGCAGCTAGCCAGAGATGTCAAGAGTAACAAGAAGGGTTTCTTCAGGTATGTTGGCAACAAGAAGAAAGCCAAGGAATGTGTGGGCCCCTTACTGAATGAGGGAGGCAAACTAGTGACAGAGGATGTGGAAAAAGCTAATGTACTCAATGCTTTTTTTGCCTCTGTTTTCACTAACAAGGTTAGCTCCCAGACTGCTACGCTGGGCATCACAAAATGGGGAAGAGATGGCCAGCCCTCTGTGGAGATAGAGGTGGTTAGGGACTATTTAGAAAAGCTGGACGTGCACAAGTCCATGGGGCCGGACGAGTTGCATCCGAGAGTGCTGAAGGAACTGGCGGCTGTGATTGCAGAGCCATTGGCCATTATCTTTGAAAACTCGTGGCGAACCGGGGAAGTCCCGGATGACTGGAAAAAGGCTAATGTAGTGCCAATCTTTAAAAAAGGGAAGAAGGAGGATCCTGGGAACTACAGGCCAGTCAGCCTCACTTCAGTCCCTGGAAAAATCATGGAGCAGGTCCTCAAAGAATCAATCCTGAAGCACTTGCATGAGAGGAAAGTGATCAGGAACAGCCAGCATGGATTCACCAAGGGAAGGTCATGCCTGACTAATCTAATCGCCTTCTATGATGAGATTACTGGTTCTGTGGATGAAGGGAAAGCAGTGGATGTATTGTTTCTTGACTTTAGCAAAGCTTTTGACACGGTCTCCCACAGTATTCTTGTCAGCAAGTTAAGGAAGTATGGGCTGGATGAATGCACTACAAGGTGGGTAGAAAGCTGGCTAGATTGTCGGGCTCAACGGGTAGTTATCAATGGCTCCATGTCTAGTTGGCAGCCGGTATCAAGTGGAGTGCCCCAAGGGTCGGTCCTGGGGCCGGTTTTGTTCAATATCTTCATAAATGATCTGGAGGATGGTGTGGATTGCACTCTCAGCAAATTTGCGGATGATACTAAACTGGGAGGAGTGGTAGATACGCTGGAGGGGAGGGATAGGATACAGAAGGACCTAGACAAATTGGAGGATTGGGCCAAAAGAAATCTGATGAGGTTCAATAAGGATAAGTGCAGGGTCCTGCACTTAGGACGGAAGAACCCAATGCACAGCTACAGACTAGGGACCGAATGGCTAGGCAGCAGTTCTGCGGAAAAGGACCTAGGGGTGACAGTGGACGAGAAGCTGGATATGAGTCAGCAGTGTGCCCTTGTTGCCAAGAAGGCCAATGGCATTTTGGGATGCATAAGTAGGGGCATAGCGAGCAGATCGAGGGACGTGATCGTTCCCCTCTATTCAACATTGGTGAGGCCTCATCTGGAGTACTGTGTCCAGTTTTGGGCCCCACACTTCAAGAAGGATGTGGATAAATTGGAGAGAGTCCAGCGAAGGGCAACAAAAATGATTAGGGGTCTGGAACACATGAGTTATGAGGAGAGGCTGAGGGAGCTGGGATTGTTTAGCCTGCAGAAGAGAAGAATGAGGGGGGATTTGATAGCTGCTTTCAACTACCTGAAAGGGGGTTCCAAAGAGGATGGCTCTAGACTGTTCTCAATGGTAGCAGATGACAGAACGAGGAGTAATGGTCTCAAGCTGCAGTGGGGGAGGTTTAGATTGGATATTAGGAAAAACTTTTTCACTATGAGGGTGGTGAAACACTGGAATGCGTTACCTAGGGAGGTGGTAGAATCTCCTTCCTTAGAGGTTTTTAAGGTCAGGCTTGACAAAGCCCTGGCTGGGATGATTTAACTGGGAATTGGTCCTGCTTCGAGCAGGGGGTTGGACTAGATGACCTTCTGGGGTCCCTTCCAACCCTTATATTCTATGATTCTATGATTCTATGAATCAATTGATTGTATACAATATTATGGTGTTATAAAAAAGTGTATAGAGTGACGACTTTTCTGGAATGCAGTTACACACTGGTAATTAATATCATTGTGAAATGTGTGCATTAACATTATATAAGGAAATACGGATACGTAATGATATTGTGCTTTACTGTCTGTGGCCAAACAGGTTCCCTTCCAGACAGGAGAGAAGGCAGCTATTCACCTGTCTCCTATGTAAATTCAGCATGGTGGAATCAAAACAGTGGAAGCCCTACTTACATACAGAGAGGTGGAAAGGCCACGGGAAGGGAAAAACAGCATAAAGTCACCCTGCCTCTTGTAACAAAGTAGATATAAGCAGACAGATGCCATTTTTGGCATCCATCACTTGACAGACAAAATGGAACAGAGCTCTTACAAACTGAGAAAGATGGGTCCTTCAATCAAGGGGCGAGATAGTGACTGAAGTCTCTGGAAACTGAATACAGGCGAGAAACCATCGCAAACAACGCCTACACTTTGCTAGATTAAGTTTTAGACTTTTAGATGTGTGTTTTCACTTTTATTTGCTTGTAACCCTTTATAACTTTATTCCTTTTACCTGTCAACACTTAACCTATGTCCTACTGTGTATAAACTTGATTTATTTTTACTATAAAGCAACTCAGTGCTGTGTTTAATTGGAATGGTGTATTTACCTCAGTTAAGTTAATACTCTGTGATGTGCTTTTGTGTCCTTAGAGGAACAAACAAACCTTATTTTTCTTCTGAACTATCCAGGAGAGGGCTGGACATTTCAGAGCACAGTGTTGGGAAAATTTGGGACAGAGTGTGCTGGAATCATCTTGCTGGTTCTAACAAATGCTGGTAGAGACCAGGAAGTGTGAATGATGTGTTGCTGGCCAGCTGCTGGGATCAGAGTTGTTGGACCAGGACTTTAGTTATACACAGACACTCAGGGGTGTGACCTGCATGCTTGCTGCTGACAGTGAACGTCCCAGGCAAGGAGTTACAGTAGCAAAGCATTTGAGGCACCCACACTTAGAACCCCTCACTGCTCCGGATTGCACCCTGAACCCTTCAACAGCATGAAATGGCTTCCACTCAGGACTTTTCAGGATGTACAACTCTATAGCACAACAAAAGCATAAACTGGGCTATGGGAATCTTACTTATTTCCAAGCCCACTATGGAATTTTCTGCTGCTGCAACCCACAGCATTTCCCTAGGTGAGTTATACTCTCGGCCAGATGGATAACTGCTGTAGAAGGTGGCACAGTAGCAGCACTACATACAAATAGAGGTGAAGGATAAGACATGGGAGGCACAGCCTCTTGTTTCCAACCCATGCTCCCCGAGCACAGCAGTTCTGGGGAGCTTCTAGCCCTTGCTGGATCAAGTACATACATTAATCTGGCACAGAATTTGGTCCCTTGATCCAGCAAGGGCTACAGGCTCTCCAGAAGTGCTGTGCTTGGGGAGCGGGGGTGGGAAAACCGAGGGTTGTGCCTCACAGGGCTTTCCTTGTAACCCTTTCTGGCTGACGGAGAGCAACATGCAGGCCCTCAACAGGAGGGCCTTCTATGCTAGGACTTGGAGATGCAAGGGAGAGAGGTGAGAACCAGCCGAGTACAACTCCTCTGGGTAGGCATTGAGGGGGTTGCCCCAACTGCATTTGGAATAGGACTCTACAAGTTACCAGGATCTGAGGGCTGAAAAGGAGAGCTGTTCCTTGTGGATGTGAACATTTATGTGAAAACAGCACAGATACTACAGTGGTACAAGCTTTAGAGAAGCACTTTGCTACAACAATGATAATATAATCCTGGAAGACCTCTTTCAAGAAGGAAGAGGAGGAATGTGAAGTAATTAAACGGGTTGATTTCTAAGGTTTAGAAAGAGAATTGGTAACTGGAGAATATTACTTATTGTTTGTATTGCAGTAGTACTTAGGAGGCTCAGACATTGACCAGGATTACACTGGGCTAGGTGCTGCACAAATGCAGAAGGAAAACTACAGACTCACTCCTAAAATGTTGGGCACTCTCCCTACTGATTATTATTATAGGTCAAGGCATAAGTGTAAAAATGAAGAGAATAATTTTGGTGGAAGTGTCTAGTTCTACAGTATTCCTCCCCACTCGTAAATTCCACAAGCTTTGTATTTCAATTGCATCATTGTAGTAGAGACACATCAGCAAGAAGAACTCCTCTTATTCCTGTCTGCTTGACTCTCTCACGGCACAACAGAAAAATCCTGCTATCCTCCTCACCAACATTTGAAAGCAAGTCAGGACTGGAGTTAGTCATAAACCCACTTCCCCAGAATTCAAAAGTATTTTTGCTTGCTAGGATGCATTCTTGGCAATATCTCCACTGAGACAGCATCACCTAAAACCAGCAGCTCTCCACTGAAAAATAGGAAGGACCTACCCAAACTGAAAAAGCAACTTTCACTGTGGCCTGTGTTATTCAGGAGGTCAGGCTAGATGATCAAATGGTTCCTTCTGGTCTTAAAAGCTAAATTAATAGTGCTCCTTTAGATCTGAACTAACCTTATAACCTGCCTCCATACACACACGTAACTAAATACAGACTGAACCGAAAGGAAATTAAATAGCAGAATGTCTCCTACCTTGTTTCTTCAAGTTTAGCCACGTTTGCTGCAAAAAATTCCAGACAAGATCGATTACAAATTTAAATTTGCATTCATTCTGTTAGTATTTATATAGCACCATAAATAAATATCCATGACACTTAAAAATAAGATATCTTCCCCCAAAGAGCTTACAACCTAAATTAAACAAACACAGGAAAAGACTAGAGTGACCGCAAATAACGAGTTGCAAAGCAAATACGTATGAAGCACGAAGAACACATTTTTAAACTGGAGACTAGGATTTATGAAGGGATCTGAAAGCAGACATGAAGGTCATTCCAGGCATAAGCAAGAGTGAGAGAAGGAGACAAAGGGAATATCAAGGCAAGAAAAACTGGCAGCATGTCGGTCACAAGGTGGGACAATGGCTGAGATGCAAGCAGGGGAAGAGTTATTCAAGGTCTTGCAAGGATGGGGAGTTTTAAGCTGACACAGAAAGTACAGACAGACAGCAAAGGGATTCAATGAAGGATCATGCTCATATATTGGTTAATTCTTTACTTATTAGACCAATTATTTTTCTCTATAAACATCTTACAGTATTCATAGGTGACTTAGCTGTTAGGCAACCTCACAAAATGTCAAAGACAACCTGAAGTCACCCAGTTTGTTAAGCACACTGTGTCGCAAATATGTTCCAAGAGCAATGACTCAAAGGAAAGATGGATCATTATAAAAATCATCATCCAAGATGAGGAGAAACGTCCACACAAGAACTCCTGTCTAGAATCAGCACAAGATGTTACTCTATCTGAGTCTCATTGTGGGCCGTGCTGCCTACAATGTGTGGTCACAGTTTACCTTTCATTTGTAGCGTTCTCCTTGAATATCGCTTGCTGGGCCTCCTTTCAAAGGACGCTGATCTTCTGGCTTTGTTGGTCTTGGTTGTCTGGTATTCTGTTTTCCCACTAAAAGTGAAAGTTAAGGTACACAACGATGGGACAAAGCACTTGTTTACAAAGGCAGAATATAGGCATAACTGGGACAAAATACCTTGTCTGACTTACTTGTAGGTGTTTGCTTTATGGCTCAGCAATCCTACCTTGCTGAGACAAACAACTTTATGCTTCTATGGTGCCTTTCATCAGAAGGACTCAGGAACTTTGCAAATATTTTAATCTCTGCTGAGGGAGATATTATCCCCATTTGCAGAAGCAGAAACTGAAGCAATTCCTTAAGGGTTAAATTCCTCAAAATACACACTTTGTCATTTTAAACACGCAATCATGGTAACTGTGTGCACTTTTTGAAAAAATCAGAGCCCAAGAGACTCAGCCAGTATCATATAGGAAGACTAGAACAGACCTAGAAATTAGAACTTTGATGCTCTGACTCCCAATCCTATGCTGTTTTCTCAAGACGGGTCTTCTTACCTAAAGAGGAACCTGAGGGCTCATGGGCTTTGGATACAGAGCCTCCATCTCCAGCTCCTTTGCCTAGCAGACAGGCCAAGGATTGGTAAGCAGCTGAACAACCAGCATGCTCCAGCAAGGTAGCATGTGGTGAGTTTGCATTGTCACTGCTTGTACTTCACCTGTTCTGTAGATGTAAGTCACTTCATTCTCCGGAGCTGACAAGCCAATGTTTTCAACATGCCCTACATTCACTTCCTTAATAGCCCTATTACATTTGCTAGGGGTTCTGCCCGAACTGCAGATTATGCTTTCCAGAGATGTGCAAGTAAATTACCTACTTCCATTTGACAATGTCCTTAAAGTGACCCTCATACCCTTTACAAATGATGATAATGTCTATGTTTATTATATTTTTCTATTTATAAAATGCACTTTTCATAATGTGTATGCAGATGGACTTCATGTGATCAACAAAGCAAAATGATAACAGCTTAATTGACCCAGGGCCCAAAAAAGAGAACTTAAAAAAAAATCCCAAACATAGTAAACTAAATCTGCCTCCCCTAGCAAATCAACCCCATAGGTAAAAGACCAAGTGTCTTACAGTGTGTCTTTGGGACAAAGATGAGACCTCATTATATGATTATGCAGTGTCTGAAACAGCGGGGCCCTGATTCCAATTGGGCTTTCTGGGCACTGCCGCAACAAAAATAATATGAATTCCAGAGTCACAAGCCTTGCTCTGCCATCAAATGTGTAAGTCTAGAGTGTGTCAGTTAAATGCACCTTATGGAACATGAAGTGGACTCTCAACCAGAACCAAAACTGCAGGGCTTCATGAATCAAAATCAACCACTTGAACTGTACCTGGAAGTAAATGGGAAGCCAGGGTAGTCTACAGAGCACAGGTATAATGTACTGTATGTAAGAAACAGGACAACCTGTTGACTTTGGGAAACTGCCCCTAGTACATTTTAGTGCACAGATCAGAAAAAGCTTAAGTTCAGTTCGCAAATCTGGAAAGGGTTGTTTATTAAAGATTGTGCATTATTTTGGCCAGTTTAACAGCCTAATTTAAATAATTTATCTAAATGCAGTTTGTGACATCCAATCTTCTGGACACTATAGAAACTGGATACCACTTTCCTCGCTTGTGCATTACCCAAGGGACTGGAAATGGGGAGAGAAGAGACAGCGAATGAGAAATGACTCTGACCTGTATCTGAACCGTGATCCCAGCCGAATGAAGCTTGATCGGCTTGAGCCTTTTTGGACGGGTCCCCTGAGGCGGAAGAAAGCATGATGTTCCACTGCACACTTCCACAAGTGTTTGCAGGCTTTGGGGTGATCCAGCCTAAACACAAAAGTGTGCTCCTGCTCCTTCCCCTTAAAGCACAGAAAATACACCATGAATTCAAACAGCCTCGAACGAGTCAGAGTTCCCCACAATTTAATGAATGCTCAATAAAATTTATATTCATCTGTGGTGAAAAATCTCCCCCACTTCATCTCTGCCTGAGAATAGATGGATGAAATACGCCAAATACAAGTGGAATTGCTAGAGAGAATATTCAGTGTTTTTGACTCCAGGAACAACTGGATTTGGCCATTTATTTTTTGTGGAATAAATTAATGATTAAATATACTTGTTAGAGCCAGGATGGCTCTGTGTTAGGAGCAACATATCAGGGCATCACCAACACCAGCTAAGATTTGCTTTTGACTAGTTAGCAAATAGCACTGTAACTACAATGCATTCACTACACATGAGGCATCTTAAAAGAGTCACTGTCCAACCTGGCCTGCCCAAATGTATACACATTAGAGTATGTGGTTGTGGGGCAGCGGCATTGAAACTGTTTATTAAAATGTATGTTAGCAACTTTGCACTCAAAAAAGATCCTACAATAAACTGATTTGTAGATAAGCCGGATGAAAAATGTCACACAGGGATAAGAGACCCACAATATGGCGGCAACTAGCCTAGGTCATGACTCGGGCTCATGGGGCTTGAGCTGCAGGGCTAAAAATCACTATATAGACATTTGGGCTCAGGCTGGAGCCCGAGCTCTAGGACCCTCCATCCTCACAGGATCCCAGAGCTCAGGTCTAAGCCTGAACGTGTACACAGCAATTTTTAGCCCTGCAAGCTCAAGTCAGCTGACCCAGGCCAGCCGCAGGTTTTTTTATCCTTGTGTGGCCATACCCTAGGAGGCCAAGCTCAGAACAACTGTGGACTGATGGGAATATTACAACATAAAGGTACTTGTCTCTGTGGCAGACTTCCTGGTTCTTGTTCCAAATCAGATCCACCTCCCTGTGTTACCAATCCTCGCTTTTTTATAATCTGCTCAACTCAGAGCAATTTCTCCTCCTGGGGGCATTTCTGTCATCTGTTTAAGGAATGAGTTCCAACTGCGTGGCATTTACACTACCTACCTTTATTAGCTTTCTTACATAACACACCAAAGTACACTTGCTCTTTCCAAATTCTCTGGCCCATACTAGTTAAACAAGACATTGCCCTTTTAAAAGCTGAGAATACAAAGCAAATCAGACACTGCTAAATTTCTTTTACATGTAAATTCACTGCCCCCAAGAAGTCACAACTAAAAACACTCCAATGCTGCCATGTTTCTCCTGCAAACTTAAGTGTGAAATGAGAGCAGGAGTAACTAACTAGTGCCCGTGAATCTTAGTTACACAGCAGCTAAAAGAGCTAACAGCACATTTTAACTACCTGCTCATCATCTTCAACAACAACTAGTGTTAATTTGTTCTTCTTGAAGTCCAGTCTGGTTATCTTTGGCCTGTCAGATGAAGAAGAAAAGAAATGTGTAAACACATCTTTGTTGGTCCATAGAGAAGAGTTATATTCAATGTTCTGCTCTAGAACTCACCCATTTTAAAAGCTGATATAAACAGACTGAGGTCCTACAACAAACGTCCCAATGAGGTATGTATTAGCCGGTGTATTAAGAAATTGTCATTAAGAAGTTATGACTTGAAGAGATTTCAAAAACTATAGCAACTTTTAAAAAGATGAAGCTTCTATTGGGGGTCTTAAAATGGATTTTTAGCTGACATCAGTACAGTCTATTATTTCTGGGCAGGGAGAGGATAATTAAGGCAAACTGTGTTTTATACAATTAGATTGGATCCAATCAAACAAACCTGCCTGACCACCCCCCTACCCATACCTTGCCAGCATGGGAATAAGCATGAGAAACAGGGACCACGGAAAATAACTTTGGACCCTTAAACCTTGCTTAAGCCTAGACCCAAATCTCAAAGTGGGTTCCCCATCTTTCTGCCTGCTTTTTAACCATATGCAACTGTACAAGTCCTATGGAACTGCTACAAATACCTCCAACAAACTGGTGTTACCCCCTCAAAAGCCTGCAGAAGGGAACTGCAGGTGTTGGTAAGCATTTTCATACTCTTTACTACATTATATGGTTATGTGCTTTTATCTAGGCCTGAACCCGTTTCTGTGGTAAGTGTGGGACAGAAAGGGGTCATTTCCAAAAAAAGGCAGAAACCACCTGGATGGTGTTTTGCACTCAAAGGATTCCAATACCCACACCTCCTCACAAAAAAGAAAACATTTGGCCAAGATACCAACTTGACTGGTTGAATGCTTTCCCCTCTCCCCCACATATCCAGTACTACACACATACACAACGAATCCAATAAAGCAGCATGACAACCTGGGAAAGCATACTTGATATTATTAGTGATGCTGTACGGGCTTCATTGTGTATGTATTTAGCACTGCTGTACGGAAGAGATGAAAGCACACAAAAACCACTCACGTATTTGTCAAGGACACTAACCAAAGAAGATAACGTTTTGGACACTGAAAAAAACCCATAATTTTAAGCTATGGAGTATTTTGCAGATTACTAATATTGACTAATGGTCTCAGACACTGTGATGTTCAAGAATTCTTGGCTAGTGTAAAAGAGTTAGGTATTTTACAATGCACAGTCTTAAGTCTTTCAATCTCACCAGAAAAACAAACCAATCTTGGTGTCGCCTTCAAAGACCAGAACTCCCGTCGGGGTCAGTCCAAGGCTGTAATCATTGCCGTCCCTTGCCTAAGTATCACAGACCAAAACAGGTTGTGTTGAGTTCCACGTGTAGGATCCCATGTATGTATAAATCATTCCAATGTATCCCATCCTTCATTGTTAAGGTTAAATAATATTTGTTATTTTATTACAATAACAAAACTCTCTAAAAAGCCTCCTAAATAGCTTATTCTACTCCACAACTCTTTGGAGAGATCAGGATAAAGAAGGAAGGAGAAGAAAGGGTTTCTTTATATGCTTATGGGCTAAAGACCCTTCTTGTGTTATTCTCTACCGTTCTTCCTTTACAATCTATTTAGTCTCTCTATAGACAATTGTGAATTGATACCAGATTAAATCCCGGTCCAATTTTGATTTCATTTACTATGATTTTCACGTAGGCTTCAGGCTGACTGAAATCTGCAGCGCCTATCACATGTTTAAAACACAATATAAATATAGATAGATTAAAATTACAGCCTCCGGAAGCATACACAAATTAGTTCGTACCAAGTGATTACGCATAACCAGCCTAAGTACTAAACATTTTAGAAAAGCACCATATTATTACCTTAATCTCATTTGTTTTCCTTTCCTATACAGCACTTTTAGCTTTGCACAATACTTGGAACATTTGGTCTGTAAGAATAACCGTTTCCAAAGAGGTCATCACCTTGTGGGCAAACTTACCTTGACTATGTGCATGTCCACCCCATACATTTCCAGCCACTTAGCTTTGTTCAAATAGTTAGTTTCAGCTTGGGCTGGTGTTTGCCCCCTGAAATAAATTTTTTTAAAGTTAAACAGAATCCTGTAAAACTACGAGCAATGAAAAGAAAAACTAGCATATGGAGAAAGAGGGGAAAAACTGATGTCTGTGGGACTGCAAAAAGCAAACATTGCTGGCTCTCTCAAAGTTTACATGAGCACCAAGGCCACCTTTGCAAATTTAAATCTGAAACGCTGATTGTTGCAAAAAGCATTGCATTGCAAGATTAGACAAATTAATGATTTCACTGAAACTGTGGAATTTTACCATTCATTGACAGGACTAGAATTTCACCCTGCATTGAAGAGGCAGACATGTAAAAATATCAATTTTCATGCTACATTCTCAACCAAGAACTGTTAGATTTGGTTTCTCATGTTCTATGATGGAATCACATTACGATTATATCTGGGTGAAAGACCACATAGAAATGTCAGCATCATCCCCACTGCTTCATTTGCATATGCTTTACCAATGGAAGAGTCAGAAAGTTGATTTGGCAAGCATGGATCAGGAGGCTAAAGTACCTGTATTCCTTCCACTTCTCAAAAATGGCCAGTTCCATCTCTTCAGTTTGAGTGGGCATAAACCTGAACTCAGACACCAGGTCAGGAATATGTTCACCAGGATCATAGTCTCCAAGTTCAGCTACAAAGAAAAAACTCTGTCAAGTGACATTCCATTCAAGATAAATCCTAGCTTAAAGGCAATAGCTGTAACAAGAACTGGCTTGAGCTGAAATGTCTACCATGATTTGTTTACTTTGTTAAGTGTTCGAGACTCAAAACTTCTCCCACTCCCTACCCCCCATATTTATTGTTTCTACCTGTTTTCATGTGGAAACTGCAGACATTGACAAACGGCCCTACAGCCTAAGCTCTGTACAGAACTTCTGCATCTGCTGATGAAATACTGTTAGTACAGCTGCTCAAAATTTTTCCCGCAAGAAGTTTTCCAGCAAAATTTTCTTCTCTTTTTTTTTCCTTTTTTTTTTTTTTTAATAAAATGGAACTTTTCATGAAAAATTGTCAACATCTTTGAATTGTCAAGATCTTGGAATCTCTTGAAACATTTTCATCAAAATAGTTTTTAAATAGTTACCAAGCAGTATTTCAGTAAAAATTGTTGACTTAAAAAAAAAAAGAAATAGAGAAAAAATGTAAAACTTTCAAGAAAAATGTACCCATTTTGAATCCTGTAGAAAGGAAAGTTTCAAAATTTCCCCCAAAACAGTTTTAATATTTTTCAACCAGCTATGACTACAGATCTCTCTGCAAAAAATAACTTAGGGGTGCAAAGGCAAGAGTAGGGGAGAGAAACTATTTTTCCTCTTTCCATCAGTGTAAGCACACTAGTGTCACAATGGCTGCGCAACATCAGAGAACTGGCTCCTTTTTCCACGGCTGCTAACACTTAAAGGCCAACCTTTTTCAAACACAGTTGCCTAAAGAAGAGTGCTTATATCTGTAATTAGAAACCTAAATTAACATGGTCTCATTTTCAGTCACCACCTCCAGTGACTTCAAGAGAGTAGTTGGTGCTTCACTCACCTTTGAGAATCAGGAACCTAATTTTGGGCCCCCAAGTTCTGGTCAAAAGTGCAAGCAAGAAACTGACCTGCTTGAAAAGTGCAAGTTTTTTGTACAAAAATAAAGAGAAAAACTTTTTGGAAAACAAAATGGAAAAGCCAATTAAATATATAAAATATTTAAAAGGTGCAAAAATTGAATTAAATATTTTGTTGTATTTACTATACACAAATTTATTTCTTGGAGTTCTGAACACAAACCTTTAAATAGCCTTTTTATACACTTAAAAAAATACTTTGACACAGAGGAAGTCTGTAGATCTACAGTAATTTACTCCCACTATGCCACCTGCCTCTGTTGAAAGGAATGTTGTCAAAGCCTGCTTAGGTTCCAGCTGATTTAAATAAAATCTGCTCAGCTGCCAACCAGACAGTAAGATTAAAGCACTACTAAAGAACTCACTGTGGAATTAAGAACAGATCTGAAAGTAGAAAGGAAATGCCAATATTTAAGAATAGGGTATATGACCTATTAAGTTCACCCTGCATTTCTAAACACTTGATCTACTGCACTATTAGATCAAACGCATTTATCAATGCCAGTATCTCTCAGAACGGGATGCATTCAAACTGTTTAATATCAAGGGAAAAGCAACAGATTTCTCTACAACAAGTTTCCCTACCTTAACTACTGGCTCTGAAAGTCAAGGAAAGCGTGGGCCCCTTAATGAATGAAGGAGGCAACCTAGTGACAGAGGATGTGGAAAAAGCTAATGTATTCAATGCTTTTATTTGCCTCCATCTTCACAAACAAGGTCAGCTCCCAGACTACTGCACTGGACAGCACAGCATGGGGAGGAGGTGACCAGCCCTCTGTGAAGAAAGAAGTGGTTCGGGACTATTTAGAAAAGCTGGATGAGCACAACTATATGCACTGCATCCGAGAGTGCTAAAGGAGTTGGCGGATGTGATTGCAGAGCCATTGGCCATTATCTTTGAAAACTCATGGCGATCGGGGGAGGTCCCGGATGACTGGAAAAAGGCTAATGTAGTGCCCATTTTTAAAAAAGGGAAGGAGGACGATTTGGGGAACTACAGGCCAGTCAGCCTCACCTCAGTCCCTGGAAAAATCATGGAGCAGGTCCTCAAGGAATCAATTCTGAAGCACTTACAGGAGAGGAAAGTGATCAGGAACAGTCAGCATGGATTCACCAAGGGCAAGTCATGCCTGACTAACCTAATTGCCTTCTATGATGAGATAACTACCTCTGTGGATGAGGGGAAAGCAGTGGACGTGTTATTCCTTGACTTTAGCAAAGCTTTTGACACCGTCTCCCACAGTATTCTTGCCAGCAAGTTAAAGAAGTATGGGCTGGGTGAATGGACTATAAGGTGGACAGAAAGCTGGCTAGATCGTCAGACTCAACGGGTAGTGATTAATGGCTCCTCGTCGAGTTGGCAGCCGGTATCAATAGGTCGGTCCTGGGGACGGTTTTGTTCAATATCTTCATTAATGATCTGGAGGAGGGCGTGGACTGCACCCTCAGCAAGTTTGCAGATGACACTGAGCTGGGAGGAGTGGTACATATGATGGAAGGTATGGATAGGATACAGAGGGCCCTAGACAAATTAGAGGATTGGGCCAAAAGAAATCTGATGAGGTTCAACAAGGACAAGTGCAGAGTCCTACACTTAGGATGGAAGAATCCAGTGCACTGCTACAGACTAGGGACCGAATGGCTAGGCAACAGTTCTGCAGAAAAGGACCTAGAGGTTACAGTGGACGAGAAGCTGGATATGAGTCAACAGTGTGCCCTTGTTGCCAAGAAGGCCAATGGCATTTTGGGATGTATAAGTAGGGGCACTGCCAGCAGATCGAGGGACGTGATCGTTCCCCTCTATTCGACGTTGGTGAGGCCTTATCTGGAATACTGTGTCCAGTTTTGGGCTCCACACTACAAGAAGGATGCGAAATAATTAGAAAACGTCCAGCGGAGGGCAACAAAAATGATTAGGGGACTGGAACACATGACTTATGAGGAGAGGCTAAGGGAACTGGGATTGTTTAGCCTGAAGAAGAGAAGAATGAGGGGGGATTTGATAGCTGCTTTCAACTGCCTGAAAGGGGGTTCCAAAGAGGATGGATCTAGACTGTTCTCAGTGGTAGCAGATGACAGAATGAGGAGTAATGGTCTCAAGTTGCAGTGGGGGAGGTTTAGGTTGGATATTAGGAAAAACTTTTTCACTAGGAGGATGGTGAAGCACTGGAATGCGTTACCTAGGGAGGTGGTGGGATCTCCTTCCCTAGAAGTTTTTAAGGTCAGGCTTACAAAGCCCTGGCTGGGATGATTTAGTTGGGGATTGGTCCTGCTTTGAGCAGGGGGTTGGACTAGATGACCTCCTGAGGTCCCTTCCAACCCTGATATTCTATGATTATCTATACCGGGGTTCTCAAACTTCATTGCACTGCGACCCCCTTCTGACAACAAAAGTTACTACACGACCCCAGGAGGGAAGACCGAAGCATGAGCCTGCCCGAGCCCCATTGCCCTGGGCAGGAAGCCAAAGCCAAAGCCCAGGGGCTTCATCTCTGGGCAGGGGGCCTGCAACCTGAGCCCTGTTGCCCAGGGCTGAAGTTGAAGCCTGAGCCCTCGGTGGTGGGGCTCATGCTTTGGCCCTGGGCGGTGGGGCTAGGGCTTCAGCTTTGGCTCCGGGCTCCAGCCAGTCTAATGCCAGCCCTGGCGACCCCATTAAAACAGGGTCACAACCTACTTTGGGGTCCCAACCTGCATTTTGAGAACCACTGATCTACAGCACTATTCGTATTTAAGCTGAGCAGATCTTTTATAAAATACCTAGGAGAATAAAAAATTTCCGGGATTGACTTAGTCTTCTTTACGAATCACAGCAAGAATAAGCATGATACCAAAATAGGTTTTATAAGGTATATGGAGTATATAGAGAGGGACATTTTTCCAGAGCGGTCTATGGTACATTAAACACAGATCACATAACTGAAAAGAATTTCACTGCACAACTCCCTTTGCACCAGTAAAACAAACAAAAACTATAGCCTTCCATTTCTGTGTGGATCCCATCATCTCCAGAACTGTCAACTCAACTGAAAGTGGAAGGAAGCAGACAGCGGCCTGGTCCACATAGAAGTTGTACTGGTGTGAGCTAAATCCACATGATTCAAGTGTAAACCAATGTGGAGTGTCCATACACAAAACTGCATTGGTTTAATGAGACTGGTGCAACATCACACCTTTAGTTAAACCAGTGCAATGTGTGTGTAAACAAACCCCCTGTTTGGAACCACTGTAGTTTGGTGCATGATTCCATTAGACCAAGGATGGAACCTGAGGAATTGACTGCACTGAGACACCAGAGGGACAGCCCTGTTCCTGTACAAGGGCAGTTCAAGCTGAGTGCACAGTGAACTGTTAGTCTGAAAGTGGACACTCTTACAAGTCTGAGGAAAAAACGTTTTAGTGGAAAATGAAAACTAACACGTACAGTTCATATTGCACTCTGCAAAGTGCCTGGTGCCAATTCATTTCCTTGGCTAAAATGTGTTTCTTCAAAAGCTCCTTTCACCCTTCCCTGATGTGGCAAAGCACTTTGTAATATATGCTGACAAATTAACAGGCAAGGAAAGTAGGTTTTTCAGCTTTAGGATTACCAAGCCCTGGCCAAGATACTTATCTTTGCACCACAGTGGCAGAGAGAGGAGGATGCAAGACTACAAGGAAGAGTCTACACAGTCATTTCCCCCACCCCACTCACCTTGTAAGGTATAAGCTGCCAACTGGACCGCTGTGTCAAACGGGCATTCCAACCTGCCACAGGAAAAATGGCTCATTAGATAAACCTTTGCATGACTGTGTTCGCAAAGAGGAGACAACTCAAGCATTTGAGAGCTGAGATGCAGTTCGTTCCAGTGAATGTCAGATCTTTGATAAGTTGATGCTTGAGATAAGTACTATAATATCCAGGCTACACTAATTTGACTCTTTGAGCCAGCACACCAAGAATATACATTTGCATACACACAGAAGGTATCAAGAGAAAAATATATTCTTGTCAAACTGAATGCTGGGGTTCCTAGTTTTCCTAAGAAACTGTGTTGTTAAATCTCATGTTAAACACACTGTAATTGCCTGAGAGACTCAATGTAGCAAACATACTATACTCCTGGGGGAATTGTGCAACTCTGCGCATGCGCAGAATTCGTGGCCCCCTGCAGATTTCTTTGCTTCCCCACAGAAAAATGACTTCTGATGGGAAAGCAAAGGGAAGCTGCAAGAGCGGTCATGCTCCCCCTCCCCGGCACCATAGGCAGGTTGGCTCGGGGGCCCGGAGCAGCTGGTAGAGATGTAAATCACCACCGGGGAGGGGGGGCTGGGCAGTTGTGCAAGTGAGAGAAAGAGAGAGAGAGACACACACACACAGTGTCCCTCTTGCTCACTACTTCAGCACACTCGGCGTGGAGGGGCAGGGCTTCAGGGTGTTTCTGAGGAGGTAGGCATGGGGCAGGCTCTGTCCCCTCAGGCAGAGCAGAATGTAGTAGCATGCCTGCTTAGTGAATTGTTTTCCATTGTCTTTGTCAATTCCCCCATGAGTATAAAACAGGTGTAAACATTTTAAGGCTCCTTCACATTGCCAGAAGGGTGTAAAGGATGGTATGGCCTTATAAATGCTTAGGGTGCTTTTGTGATTAGAACTGGTCTAAATTTTTGGACTGAAAAAATTTCCTATCAAAATGTGCTCCATGAACTGTTTGCTACTGACCTTTCTGGAGATAGTCAGTAGCCAATATAACTTGTGAGTTTGATTTCCCAGCCCTCACTTGCTCTTCAGTTGCCTATGATGGAACACTGAGCATATATGACTGCATATTTGTTGACTAATAACTAGAAATAAAGGGTCAAATCTAGCTACATTACTATTTGGCAAGGGGGATTGGGGATTTCCTCCATTGCTCCCTACTCGCATTCTCCATTCATAGTATTGTAGTTTAAATAAACTACCGAAATAATTGAAATCGGAGTGATTATATTGCGTTATTTTGACAAATAAAATACGCAGAATTTTAAAATATTGTGCGCAGAATTATTATTTTTTGGCACAGAATTCCCCCAGGAGGAATACTAATAGTACTTACTTTCCACTGAGAATATCCTGTTTTAGCTGAAGAACAAATAAATACCTATGAAGGTAAAAGAAAGGACAAAATAATCAATTAGAGCTAACAGTTCTAATGCCAGTCAGTCAGCAGCTGGACAGAAGGAGCTATAACCTGACATTTAAGAACTCAATAAGGTGCAACTTAGATTTAAGATGCTGCACACTGATCTTTCAAGGCCTCTCAGTATGGGCTTGCATAGACTGAGCACAGTGCAAACGAAGAAAAACCCAAATGATGACTTATATGAATTCGGATCAAGGACCTGAAGGAGAAAGAGGAAGATGCTGCAGGATTAGTCCTGCTCGTTTCTCGCTCTTGCCCCATCAGGACTCAGTAATGCACCATGTGACGGTCGGCACCACCATTCATTCAAAAGCATGAATGTCTAAATTTTTTCTCAAAAGTGCCTTTGCCTAGATCCCATCCTGAAAACTGGCCACAGGAGAGTGGAACTGGAAGAAAATAAAGTCTCGTGTTACCACCTTGCTCTCCATAGCAAGGCCCTGCAGAAAATCTTAGCTTACAGACTGCTCTTCCTTTGGATTGGGAAGGAAGGGGGGACTAGTACACCTGGCAGTGAAAAACAGCATGACCCTTTTATTCTTCTTCTGGTGGGGATGCCCAAAGAAGAAGCTCCAAGAAAGAAATGTCACTTACCCTACGATAACTGGTTTCAGAGTAGCAGCCGTGTTAGTCTGTATCCGCAAAAAGAAAAGGAGTACTTGTGGCACCTCAGAGACTAACCAATTTATTTGAGCATAAGCTTTCGTGAGCTACAGCTCACTTCATTGGATGCATTCAGTGGAAAATACAGTGGGGAGATTTATATACACAGAGAACATGAAACAATGGGTGTTACCATACACACTGTAACGAGAGCTATGACGAGTAGGAGAGCGGAGGGGACGGGGACCTTTTGCAGTGATAATCAAGGTGGGCCAGCAGTTGACAAGAACAGTAGGGGGAGAAATAAACAAGGGGAAATAGTTTTACTTTGTGTAATGACCTATCCCCTTTGCCATGTACGTTGGCCAAACTGGACAGTCTCTACATAAAAGAATAAATGGACACAAATCAGATGTCAAGAATTATAACGTTCAAAAACCAGTCGGAGAACACTTCAATCTCTTTGATCACTCGATTACAGACCTAAAAGTGGCAATTCTTCAACAAAAAAACTTCAAAAACAGAATCCAATGAGAGACTGCTGAATTGGAATTCATTTGCAAACTGGATACAATTAACTTAGGCTTGAATAGAGACTGGGAGTGGATAGGTCATTACACAAAGTAAAACTTCTTGTAAACTGCTGGAAATGGCCCACCTTGATTATCACTACAAAAGGTTTCCCTCCCGCGCGCCCTCCCCCCGCCGCTGGTAATAGCTTACCTTACCTGATCACTCTCGTTACAGTGTGTATGGTAACACCCATTGTTTCGTGTTCTCTGTGTATATAAATCTCTCCATTGTATTTTCCACTGAATGCATCCGATGAAGTGAGCTGTAGCTCACAAAAGCTTATGCTCAAATAAATTTGTTAGGTCTCTAAGGTGCCACAAGTACTCTTTTTCTTCGTACAATAACTGTGGTTCTTCTAGATACTGTAGTTAGTGTGGATCCCACTGTAGGTGTGCATAAGCCTCACGTGTGAAAGACTGGAGAGGTATTGTTAAAATAGCAGCATCTGTCTGGGCTGTGCATGGTTTCAACACCACCATATCCCTATGGAAGGATGTGTAAGGTACTTCAGCTCTGAGTCAGTGAGCTCCAAGCCCTTATGGCTGAAGTGATGTCCATAAAAAAAAAGACCATTTTGATGGTCAGGTGGTGTAGTGAACACTCCAACAATGTTTCAAAGGGAGGGTCTGCGAGTTGAGGTCCCATGTGGGAGTTAGGTCTCTAACCAGAAGATAAGCATGAAGGAGGTCACTCAGGAATTTTGATACTGTCAGATTTGAGAAGATTGAGTATGACTGTACTGAACTGTGATACTCCGATATTCCTGCCAGGTGAACTTAGAAAATGTTAAATGCTAGTCCAACCTGCTTCTGGTGCAGCATGTAGTCAAGGATCGTCAGTCTTGGGGCCTCCACTTGGGCTATCTGGTTTTGGGCAGCCCATATGGAAAAAATTTCCATTTGGAGGAGTAAGTCTTCCTAGTGGGAAGCTTCCTGCTTCGTACAAAAATCTCCTGAGCCTGTAGGGAGCACTCTGTCAGGAGTGCTCAACCAGCCTACATCCAAAACATCAGTGCAATGACTGCAGATCTAGGTGCAGAATTTCACCACTGTTCTGAGATATTATGTGCAAGCAGGTCAGAAGGTGTATGGGGCGGGGAAGGGCGGACATGAGGACATCTGCAGTATGCCCAACAGCCAAACTGTCTTGGCCAGCATGAGGCTACCAACACGATCATAGCCTTGTCCCGTCTGATCTGGACCATTGGATCCCATTCCCAAGAGAGTGAGAGAGACCATGACGTGTGCACAAGAGGCCAGGGATTGTGGCTGGTATCTGTCTAGACTCATGGTGGTTTAGAAGCACACAGATCCAGTACATGGGTCCAACTGCAGAAGCCTGGTGTGTGTCCACCAGTGGGTCCACCGGTCTGTGATACCCTTCCTTGCTATCACCCTGTCCCATGTTAGAAAGCCATATTTGGCCAGTAAGGATTAGCAATTAGCCACCAACAGCTGTGTGCAGCAAAGTACAACTTTCTCCCAAATAAGCTGAGCCTTTTGGGATCCTCTGGGGTACCTCTTACTGGACTTCATCTTTTCTTGTACCGCAACTAAGGAGAGTGGGTGAGGAGAGCCTAGGAGCACTCAAACCCCATAGGAGGTACTCAATATCTCTTCGTGACTCATTTCAGAATGGGCATTATTGTGGCCAGTATCTGCCACAGTGACTTTGGCAGGGCCAAGCAGTGCCTCATTTATAGGGAAGGCAATACTGGCTGAACTGCTGCACAAGGCATCTTGTGGATTTTCTCCGATATGACTGAAGTCTTGAACTTCGAAGTCTTGATCTCCAAAGTTTGTACAATCATCAAAAGGAACTTCCGGAATACTTTTTTAGTCATCTGGTGCTGGTCCTGCTGCTGAAAATACTGCTTCATGAGGTGACAAGTTTGACTAGTCCTTTGATGACAGTACACGGCGTTGGTACTGCGGTGTCCCTGGATACGGCTCTTTCTGGTACTCTGGCCAAGGATGCTGATGAGGAATGCCCTCTTCCTCTTTTTCAAGAGGAGTGGAGATGAGCTTCTCAATGCCTGAGATGGCAGGCCTGGTACCCCAATAGGGCAATGGTGGAATGCCATAGAAGTACGGCTCGCTTGTTGGATAATGGCCAATCCAGAGCTATTCCTGACGAGCTGGTGGAAGCTGAGCCCTGTAGGGTAAGTTGGCAGAACTATCTGAAGTGTTAACCACTGACCTCAGAGAAGAAGTCTCTCTACTGGAAGATGGAGGGTATGTATGCCCCAGTGATGGTGAAGAGCCGACCTCCTCCAGGGACAGCACTGAAGAGTATGGTGCTTTCAATACTGGAGTCTGTACTGGTGCAAGTCAGCGTCTTGGTACCGACAATGATCTTGCTTCTCCTCCCAGCTCATCCTCCTCAGTCTGTTGATGCTGATGGATGCATCACCGGAATCGGGTCACTGCTGGAGGAATAGGCCAAATCATATGGTGCTCCTTCTCCTCAACCCTAGATGTCATGTAGGGCACGGTGGATTTATCTCCAGAGGCTTTATGGCATCTGTCCTTCTTGGAAAACACTGAGCTCTGTCTGGAGTCTCTGCCTCAGTATTTGGAGTGGCACTTCTGTGTACAAGACTGAGACCAGAGGTGTTGGTGCTGGGTCATTCCTTGGTGCTGTCTTCTCTGCACCAATCTCAGGCATTGCTCGTATGCTAGATGGGGCAGCAGATGAAACTGGTTTGTCTGCCAGCAGAATTCGTAGAACTTGTCTCCTCTTAGTCTGATGAGACCTTAATGGAACGTTAGCTTCCCATCTTATGACTTACATATTCTGATGAAGAACGAGAAGCAGACCGAGCATCTGCTCAGTATATGAAATTCTTCCAAACAGAAGAGTCACCAGCTGTGCTTATCTTTCTGGGTAATTAGTTCATCGCAGGATGGTAATTAGTTCATCGCGGGGCTTAAAGCCCACAGGTTTTGAGTTCACTATGCTAAGGATCCCTGTTCAGGAGGCTCTGGTTGGCCAAGTTCAGTTCAGACAGATGGAGACAGCTCATGGTGGCAGATACAGAAGATCAGAAGTAATTATGAAGATTTTTTTCAAAGATTTGTAGACATTTAGCCTGAGCTGAGAACTAGCAGGTAGGACAGTTTTCAGGTTCGGTGTTGCTGCCATGGGAAGTAAGGGGGAACTGCGGGAGCCTTGTGGCCACCCTGTCCTTTATGCCCTGGTATAGGAGCGCAAAGCAGCACAAGGTGCATGAGCTGCCCCAGATGCTGCTATTACAAAAAAAAAAGCTCTAATCTCACGTGCAAGAGGCAAACATGCATTTAAACTGATATCCACACTGACACTTACTTGAGCTAACAATGCACCTTTGCCTTGCTTATGAGTAACAGAGGATCTGCAATGTTTACAATTAATGGGAATAGGAGAACACAAGAAAGAATTGACCACTCTTGCCAAGACAGTTTCTCCACTAATAGCACTGATCCACTCTGCAGAAGCAGAATTGCCTTCTACAAATAATCTCTGTTGTCCAAACCTGGTAAGTTTTGCCCTTTTTCTGAACTCAGCTGGGAACATCAATGACCCTTCTGGTGTATATATATAACTGTAAGGCTATGATGCTAAATATATCATTTCATATTTAATGATCCTCCAGCATTAAGGAAAATATATTGAATTAAGTAACAGGAACCCTGGGGTGTTAAGTCACAAAGCATATATACACAAAGCAATCTTGTGGTGTCTAGATATATACGTAGGTTAGTACCAGATGAAAAGCAGGACTACCCAGGAATTCCAACAAGCTCTTTTCTGATTGAAACCCAGGTTTAGCCATGACTTAAATCCTGCATGCGTACTACTGTGGACTCACATCTCAGTACGATGGTGAAACAATCTTCTTCAATTTGCTTATGCTTTGCATGGATCCTGCAAATGATGGGGCCTAGCTGAGTTCACTTATACCAGAGAGAAATTCACAGTTACAAATGCATTTTAATGTTTTTCTGTCCAAAAACATAGCTAGATATCACATGGCTTTAAATTAACCACAACTGATAAGAGACTGAAGTCAGGAGTGGGACAAAACGTAAGCTGCCCGCTATCCCACTGGCTCAGAACCTATGGCCACCCTATTAGCAGAGCTTATTAAATAAGGCAACCCCCCCCACGTGTCAAATAATGTATTCAATGAATATTGGGGAAAAAAGACAATGGACACAGAATCCAAAAAATCCCAACAGCAGCCAAACAGCTCTATTCATAGAGCTGCAGGCTTCGAAGGAATCCCAAGGGGTCATCTAGTTTAGAGGTTCCCAAACTAAGGAGAGTGCTCCCTTGCATTATCAGGGGGACGTGAAGACCTGATGGGCCGTGCTGATGGGTCAGGTCAGAGGGGGCTCTGTCAGGCAGGAGAAGTGAATGGGGCACTGTGTGGGCGGTTCCAGCTGTGAGGACCAGTGTCCCCTCCCCTGTCTCACTCCCCTACTGCTGCAGCAGCCACCAATCAGCAGTTACCATTCTCCACTGGGGAGGCCAGTGGGGACTCTGCAAGCAGGGAGTTGAAGGATGCACCTCAGAAGTACTGAGCCCTCAGCCACACAGAGCCTCCTCCTGATTCGGCTGTTCAGAGTGGCCCCAGGGCACACAGCCCAATCTGCTTCCTCTACTGAACAAAGCCTGGACAGGGAAGTGGAGGGGGCTCTATCCGGCAGGGGGGCCAATACTCCAGGGTTGCAGTCTTCCATTCCCCACCTGACCCTTCAGCATGGCCCTATTCACTTCTCCCTCCACAGTTCCCTTTCTCCTGCTAATATATCCCAGAACATAAACATAAGCTGTAGCTCACGAAAGCTTATGCTCAAATAAATTGGTTAGTCTCTAAGGTGCCACAAGTACTCCTTTTCTTTATACAATTGTGTAGATCACACTCAAGTTACCTTGTTAACTCTTCACGGAGATTGTTAGGCTCAGAGGAGTAAAATTTTACACGAAGATGCAGACAGTATGGAGGGCCAACTGCAAAGTAAATGAATTGAAGAAATTGATAACAACAGGATATTACCTGGGAAAGGTCCGAATTTGTTATAGAACAGAAGCATATATACCAGAAGTCTGCCTATCAATGGTTTTGACCCAGCACAAGGTGTCTGAGAAAAGAATTCCCTTGTAACATGAGATTTTCTTTTTTTTAAATCACACACTAACAGACACACAAAATAGTTTGTTTTACATATTACAAGTCAACCCAGCCATCTTAACCCATTAAGTTGATTGGTCTTGCCAAGAACAGACAAATCTAGGTTAATCCCAATATTTAAGCACTCTATTCATCATTTAGAAAGTCATGGATTTTGGCTCTGCACTCAGCCAAATTCTTAGAAACTCTGCTGTCCTATGTAAAACACTTGCCGAGCTCTGGGGAGTACCTGCTGTTGACAGGTTATGCCACCATATTCCACAGAGTTTTAGACCCAATTTGGTGTGGGTGAACAGTCCCTCTTTGGGAGCATCATCTTTCTTGAAGGCAGAGAGTTAATCCAGACAAAGAATGGATTAACGGTTCTTTGAAACTGCAGAGCTCTAGATGGATTTGTGCATTGAAACTAGGATCCTTTTCTCTGACATCCCTTCCAAGATTTACATTTTATTAAAGTAGCATCGCAAGACCCTAAAGACTGTACAGTTGCAGTGAAGAAGCTGCTGAACATAGTCAGCCAAGATTGACATAGTAACATATCCAAAATTATCCAGTGATAGATTATCACTGAATCTATCCAATAAGCTGTTACCAAACTTTATGCCATCTGTGGTGATTTGATAGGCAGACCACACACGGATTAGGGCATTCTACAACCCACCAAGCAGAGGGGGCTCTGAGACAGTTTTTCATTTAGTGAGGACAAGGCTCTACATCTGCTGAAGAAACTGTAAAGCTATGATGCTAAATAAATCATTTCATATTTAAGGATCCTCCAGCATTAAGGAAAATATATTGAATTAAGTAACAGGAACCATGGAGTGTTAAGTCACCACTAGGCACGTATCAAGATTTTGTCACCACATCGCTCCTTTCAGGACACTGCCTATTCCTGGCAGGATGACTTCTAGTGTTGCAAATACACAAGACTACATGTCCCCACAATCTATATTGCTACTTGATTGGATGAAAAAAGAAATTTAAAAGGACACTTACTTTTAACTTGTTTTTTAATGCTCTTTGTGTTGTCCAACCAATGCTGAAAGACACAGAATCCTTGAGTTGAAATTGTTTTATCATAAGGTAAGGAGAAATCTTTACAAAAAGAAACACAGATGTAAACCAAGTCACAAAGGTTAGCCATACATTAGGAAGGACCATCTTAAAATGGTCTTAAAATGGCGAGCAGTCCCACTAAAACAAAGCCTAATCTGAATCCTTTATGGCTAATGCCCCAGTCTGCTTATCAAAGCATTTTATTCTAAATAACATGGGTTAACCCATACAAAAAGTGTGTCACAGAGCAGACTCCTTAAGGGGATATGTGAACACAGAAGCACCACATCATAGTGCATTAGAATAGAGTTTATTTCAAGTGAAAATGATCAAGACACAGAATTAGTTTCAAGTGATTACAGCAGACAGCATCCATGCAGCAATACAACATGTAGAAGTCAGTGCTCAACAGAGCATTTATCTGTCTGGAGTACTGATACACAAACAACCCATGTTAATGACACCACATTCTTCCAGGAGAACAAATCAGTTCCTGCAGGAGCACAGACAGTGTGAGATAAATTCACATCGCATTAAATGAGGATTTCAATGTCTGATACCTGCCTCAGTTTGTATTCTACACTTTTGGGAAGGGAAAAATAATGAAGGAATTATTTTTCTCCCTCACAAACATTTCCTCCAGGAATACGTGGTTAGATGAAGCCTTGGTGTTATTTATTAATGAATGTACATGGGGCCTTTACCTTAAGAGGAAATCCTGATTTTACTGAAAAATACTTATAACTAACTTTTTAAAATGCTGAAAATGAGATCGTAAAGTTTTAGTGGTGCAAAAAGAAATGGGAGTAGAAAATACCACATCATTTCAATTATCTTGGTTATAAGATAATGAAGCTAATGAAGAGTACCTTCGTGAGCAGGCTGGCTAACCTAGTGAGGAGGGCTGTAAACTAGGTTCACCGGGGGAAGGAGACCAAAGCCTTGAAGTAAGTGGGGAAGTGGGATACCGGGAGGAAGCACGAGCAGGAGAGCGCGAGAGGGGAAAACTCCTGCCTCATACTGAGAAAGAGGGACGATCAGCGAGTTATCTTAAGTGCCTATACACAAATGCAAGAAGCCTGGGAAACAAACAGGGAGAACTGGAAGTCCTGGCACAGTCAAGGAATTATGATGTGATTGGAACAACAGAGACTTGGTGAGATACCTCACATGACTGGAGTACTGGCATGGATGGATATAAACTGTTCAGGAAGGACAGGCAGGGCAGAAAAGGTGGGGGAGTTGCACTGCATGTAAGAGAGCAGTATGACTGCTCAGAGCTCCGGTATGAAACTGCAGAAAAATCTGAGAGTCTCTGGATTGAGTTTAGAAGTGTGAGCAACAAGGGTGATGTCGTGGTGGGAGTCTGCTATTGATCACCGGACGAGGGGGATGAGGCTCTCTTTTGGCAACTAACGGAAGTTACTAGATTGCAGGCGCTGGTTCTCATGGGAGACTTCAATCACCCTGATATCTGCTGGGAGAGCAATACAGCAGTGCACAGACAATCCAGGAAGTTTTTGGAAAGTGTAGGGGACAAGTTCCTGGTGCAAGTGCTGGAGGAACCAACTAGGGGCAGAGCTCTTCTTGACCGCTGCTCACAAACTGGGAAGAATTAGTAGGGGAAGCTAAAGTGGACGGGAACCTGGGAGGCAGTGACCATGAGATGGTCAAGTTCAGGATCCTGACACAAGGAAGAAAGGAGAACAACAGAATACGGACCCTGGACTTCAGAAAAGCAGACTTTGACTCCCTCAGGAAACTGATGGGCAGGATCCCCTGGGAGAATAACATGAGGGGGAAAGGAGAGCTGGCTGTATTTTAAAGAATCCTTATTGAGGTTACAGGAACAAACCATCCCGATGTGTAGAAAGAATAGTAAATATGGCAGGCGATCAGCTTGGCTTAACAGTGAAATCCTTGCTGATCTTAAACACAAAAAAGAGGCTTACAAGAAGTGGAAGATTGGACAAATGACCAAGGAGGAGTATAAAAATATTGCTTGGGAATGCAGGAGTGAAATCAGGAAGGCCAAATCACACTTGGAGTTGCAGCTAGCAAGAGATGTTAAGAGTAACAAGAAGGGTTTCTTCAGGTACGTTAGCAACAAGAAGAAAGTCAAGGAAAGCGTGGGCCCCTTACTGAATGAGGGAGGCAACCTAGTGACAGAGGATGAGGAAAAAGCTAACGTACTCAATGCTTTTTTTGGCTCCGTCTTCACGAACAAGGTCAGCTCCCAAACTACTGCACTGGACAGCACAGCATGAGGAGGAGGTGACCAGCCCTCTGTGAAGAAAGAAGTGGTCCGGGACTATTTAGAAAAGTTGGACGAGCACAAGTCCATGGGGCCGGATGCGCTGTATCCGAGAGTGCTAAAGGAGTTGGCGGATGTGATTGCAGAGCCATTGGCCATTATCTTTGAAAACTCATGGCGATTGGGGGAGGTCCCGGATGACTGGAAAAAGGCTAATGTAGTGCCCATCTTTAAAAAAGGAAAGAAGGAGAATCCTGGGAACTACAGGCCAGTCAGCCTCACCTCAGTCCCTGAAAAAATCATGGAGCAGGTCCTCAAGGAATCAATTCTGAACCACTTACAGGAGAGGAAAGTGATCAGGAACAGTCAGCATGGATTTACCAAGGACAAGTCATGCCTGACTAATCTAATTGCCTTCTATGACGAGATAACTGGCTCTGTGGATGAGGGGAAAGCAGTGGACGTGTTGTTCCTTGACTTGAGGAAAGCTTTTGACATGGTCTCCCACAGTATTCTTGCCAGCAAGTAAAAGAAGTATGAGCTGGATGAATGGACTATAAGGTGGACAGAAAGCTGGCTAGATCGTCGGGCTCAACGGGTAGTGATCAATGGCTCCACGTCAAGTTGGCAGCTGGTATCAAGTGGAGTACCCCAAGGGTCAGTCCTGGGGACGGTTTTGTTCAATATCTTCATTAATGATCTGGAGGATGGCATGGACTGCACCCTCAGCAAGTTTGCAGATGACAGTAAACTGGGAGGAGCGGAAGATACGCTGGAAGGTAGGGATAGGATACAGAGGGCCCTAGACAAATTAGAGGATTGGGCCAAAAGAAATCTGATGAGGTTCAACAAGAACAAGTGCAGAGTCCTGCACTTAGGACGGAAGAACTCCATGCACCGCTACAGACTAGGGACCGAATGGCTCAGCGGCAGCAGTTCTGCAGAAAAGGACTTAGGGGTTACAGTGGACGAGAAGCTGGATATGAGTCAATAACCGTGCCCTGGTTGCCAAGAAGGCCAATGGCATTTTGGGATGTATAAGTAGGGGAATTGCCAGCAGATTGAGGGATGTGATTGTTACCCTCTATTCGACATTGGTGAAACCTCATATGGAATACTGTGTCCAGTTTTGGGCCCCACACTATAGAAAATGATGTGGAAAAATTGGAAAGCATCCAGCAGAGAGCAACAAAAATGATTAGGGGACTGGAACACATGACTTATGAGGAGAGGCTGAGGGAACTGGGATTGTTTAGCCTGCGGAAGAGAAGAATGAGGGGGGATTTGATAGCTGCTTTCAACTACCTGAAAGGGGGTTCCAAAGAGGGTGGATCTAGACTGTTCTCAGTGGTAGCAGATGACAGAACAAGGAGTAATGGTCTCAAGTTGCAGTGGGGGAGGTTTAGGTTGGATATTAGGAAAAACTTTTTCACTAGGAGGATGGTGAAGCACTGGAATGCGTTACCTAGGGAGGTGGTGGAATCTCCTTTCTTTGAGGTTTTTAAGGTCAAGCTTGACAAAGCTCTGGCTGGGATGATTTAGTTGGGGATTAGTCCTGCTTTGAGCAGGGGGTTGGACTAGATGACCTTCTGAGGTCCCTTCCAACCCTGATATTCTATGATAAGCTAGATACCAGTTAATTCTCAGAGGGAAAAATCATGACTTATTTTATGTTAGCACATTAGACCACATAGGAGAAAAACTTGCACATCCACAGGTAAGAAAGAAGCCTGGGCACAGGCACACATGCAGTGTGCCCAGAAGGAATCGTGCAGCCGTACACCTGGTACTGCAGAGGTTGTACCATGGGCCAATGACAGAGCTGGGCCCAACATACGATGGACCACACAGACCCATATCAGAGGGGCATGATCTGTCCAAAATGTGTGACATGGGCAGGTAACAGATGTTGCATTATCCTAGAAGAGAACTACACTGGCTGAACGGCTGGAACAAGGTACCATGCACACCATGTTTTGGCTGGAATGTGGTGCTTAAAGAGGCATCTCGATCAGCTGATCTCAGATGTCTCCTTGCTGCCAATACAGTTGAGTGTCATAAATCAGCAGTGCTCCTCTGGTAGAACTATGGGTCACACTGCTCCCACAGGGGCCTGGTGATTCAGATACTTCACAGAAGGTAAGATGGGGATGGGAGGGGAGGAAGGCCATTTTCAGACCACAGGACTGTGTGCACATCTGTTTAATCTCCAGTCTGTTTTCTTTCATCTCCTCCACATTCCAGTGGTAGGCAGTTAAAAGGCCGGAGACAGGCACTGATAGCACTTTACTTGACTCAGCTCCTAACACCAATGCCTCCAGGAGTTCAGCTTGAATGGGTAACGGGGGAGGGGACCATGGGGAAGGGGAAGGGGAAACAGAACAGCTTTTACCATTGGAAGCCTTGGAGGGACATTTTAAAAGAGAGAAGGCTACATTTATTTCAAGTGATTCAGATGGAATGCAAATGGGGCTGCCAAAAAAGTTTACATTTTGATGAGAGTTTATTCTACACGCTCTAGTACCTTTATCCAAATCTAACAATCACAACGAAGAATGAATCACTAATGAACAATGAAAACTGCATACTGAACAAACAAAAAGAGCTAAAAGTTATTCTTAAAACAATTTGGAGTTGATCACTTCAGAAAGGGAGACTAAATAAATAGGTTTCAGAGTAGCAGCCATGTTAGTCTGTATCCGCAAAAAAGAAAAGAAGGACTTGTGGCACCTTAGAGACTAACAAATTTATTTGAGCATAAGCTTTTGTGAGCTACAGCTCACTTCATCTGTAGCTCATGAAAGCTTATGCTCAAATAAATTTGTTAGTCTCTAAGGTGCCACAAGTCCTCCTTTTCTTTTTGTAAATAAATAGGAATAGCAGCTTTTTAAACAAAGTGGTAAGAATAAATCTTGTTTGACAAAAAGTAATAGCTTTTCTCTTGCTATGTGGAATAGCTCTGTAATTTAGACAATGCTATGCAAGTCATGTTCAGTATTAAGAACTACCATAGCTGAAGTATTTGCTTGAGTATAACAAAAACAGTATATTCTACAATGAATTAAACTTATGTAGCATTTGACTCCATAATGCTCTCTGTACATTAAAGTGAGGTTATAAGTTTGCCACAGTTTAAAGTTCAGTACTTCCTTCTTGTTACAGACTATGTTTTCTACATTATTGAAGGATAAGCTAATTAGCCTAATAAGTCTCATGTCATCTTTATTTTCCACACCTCTAGGGTGGGTTATACCGTTTGACGCTGAATAGATCTAAAGCTACTTGAATTCAACAGTAGCCTTCCTACTGACCACAATGAGCTTTGGCTCAATCCCTGTATGCTCTAGAAACTGGCACAAATGCTCCTTTTTGACAGCTTCTGTCTTTATAGCCCAAAAAAATATTCCTAACCACCAGACTAAAAATTAATACAGAGGCCAGGTGAGCAAGATAAGATATTCTTTCACTTCACATGGGATTGCAAAATTTTATTAGAAGAAAATAGGTCAGTGGTTGGATCTCAGATTGCAAAATCTTAGCAAGAGTGGTTAGGGGCCCCTGCTGCTCCCCCCACCCCAGAGGCTGTGGCCGCATAAAAAGCCCCTGATGGCTGCATTTGAGAAACACCGCACTAGACTGTGACTCAGGAGGCCTGAATTCAATTCCTGACTCTGCCACAGACTTCCTACAGGACCTTGGGCAAGTCACTTGATCTCTCTGTACTTCAGTTCCCCACCTCTAGAACGGGGATAGTGTTATCTCTAATTTACTTGCTCCATTTTGAATGAAAAGCTGCCATCATAATAGGCAGACAGTTCTTTAGAAAGATTAAACTGTTTGCTTCTCGCCATTTGGCATTAGTCTTTTCAAAATAAGAAGCTTACTACAGTATTTAAAAGCCTTACAATAAATGAGGGTCTCAATGAAACACGTTAAACAGTGAATGTAAATGCTCATGACAGTTATAAAAAGGAAACAAACCAAGCTGAATTGCCTGCAGATAGCATGTTACACAGTCTAGATGAATACTCACCAGGAATCACCTGGACTGGAAATACCCGCCCAGGGAACCTAACTGATCCAGGGAAACTAACCCATGAGCCATTTTTGGGGTAGGAAAGATTCTTCCTCACAACCCCATCACCTGAGGAGGAGTCACTGTTATCAGACATTGGGGTGGTAAGTAGGAAAAACAGTCAGACAGCATGGCTTAACAAGTGGAGTTGAATAAACTGTGAGCTCTAATAAAAGCTACTGGCACATGGAAACTCTTCATAGGGAACATGACAGCATGGAAATCAGTTAGACTGTCTCTATGCCCTCATGCACAAAGGATGCTGTTTTGGTGAAAAGAACATAGAAGTGTGATGGAGCAGTTTATGAGCAAATTGAAGTGCAACAATCTCAAGAGGCTAGATTTGTATTGCAGGTGTAGTAATACAGCATACAATGTCATGTACACAGCTTGTAAATTCTTAAAGCAGTTTCAATAGTCTGTCATATCAGGATAGTAACCATCTAAATGCTCCATGGCATATGGATAAATAGCAGCAACAGGTGCAGATAAGAAAAGGGAAGTAAGAGAACATTTTCTTTAAAGTGCACAAATAGTGAAGGGGATCTCAGTATTTTTCTGGAGTGTATTTTATCTAGTAAAATTGCCAGAGGGCCTACGTCTCTCGTTGGTAGTCCATGTACGTACCTACCCTCTTCTTTAACTACTTTTCCAAGGTGACCTCAGGTGCTGAAAATTAATTCCCATCACTAGCCCTCCAGCAATCTTCCAAACTAGTGTTTTTGCTGACAAGTCAGCAGCAGGCAGGCAGATAGATAGATGCTGCTCCAACCATCTCTGCTGGAGTCTCCAGGGTGGAAGGAGACACCCCTGACTTTTCTCCGACAATGCCAGCTGTCCTCTGTAATCCAAGAGAGCAAGTGCCATACTCACTGCTGGTGTAAATGGGTGCCACTCAGAGAACTGGAGTGGAACTGTGCCTACTCATGTCAGCAGTGAAATTTGCCTTAAGTATCAAATGTTCAAGGTCAGATTATTTTCCTAAAGGAAACCCCTCTCTGCAATACAAGTTAAGTGTGAAGAGAGATCCATGGAGACTGCTTTATGTAGGATACCACCAAGGTATGCAGGGATTTGGGAACAGCTCATCCAGATTCTAGAGAGGCCAGCCAGCCTGTTTGGTTGCCTTGTCTACCAGGGGAGGAAACAAGGAGAACTTCATGTTTTAGCAGCAAGCCAACTAACATGCTATTTTAACGTAAATAGTTCACGTCTGACCCTAAAAATTTCAACTTTTGACAAATATTTCAGAAGTCAGTGGACTAGTGTCAGTACCTTTATCTTGCAGACTGAACTAGAGCAGTTCAGCTACTTATATCACCAGTAGCTGCCATTCCTACCCTGCTGACTTTGGTGTGTTACTCCTGAAATAAATCTGAAGAGATTTTGAAATGCATGGACAACCTGGTCATCTGTACCAAAGAGACATGTGTGACAGACCCAGACCAGTGGGATACAGGAGTCTGGTAGAAGGCAAATATATTGGCCACTGAATGAACAGTTTTCTGTTCCCTCCGTGACCAGAGCAGGGGCTGCCCTAGAGCAATCAGGAACCTGCCAGAACCAATTAAGACAGGCAAGCTAATCAAGACACCTGGAGTCAATTTAGAACTTTCTAGATTCAATTATGGCAGGCAGACTAATCAGGACACCTGGTTGAAAAAGGACCTCCCATCAGTTAGTAGGGGGGCACGTCAGGAGCAGGGAGTGAGAAGGCGTGCTGCTGGAGGAGTGAAGAATTCAAGCGTGATCAGGCTTCAGGAGGAAGATCCTGCAGTGATGATAAAGAAGGTGCTGGGGGGAAGGCAATGGGGAAGTAGCCCAGGGAATTGTAGCTGTCACGCAGCTGATACAGGGAACATTGTGGACAGCTGCTATCCACAAGGCCCTGGGCTGGAACCCAGTGTAGAGGGTGGGCCCAGGTTCCCCCCCCATCCCCCAACTCCTGATCGGACACAGGAGGAGTTGACTTGGTCTGTGAGAAACACGAGAAGGGAAGGTCTAAATTGGAAAGGGATCTGCCCTGTCCCCGACCCACCAGGTGGGACACAGAGACTGCAGGGATTGTTCTCCATTTCCCCCATGCTGGCCAGCGATGAGGTTAGCTGAGTGGACGGCAGGTTTGAGCCACTAGCAAGAGTGGCCAAACTGAGGGCTGCCGTGAATCTCTCAGGCAAGCAAATCTGCCAATAAGCGCAGGACCCACCGAGGCAGAGGAGGAACTTTGTCACACATGTGATGGACACCCGAGCAATTCGAAAATCTAAATACAGAGCCCCTTATCTTAGAAGGGCACCATTTCCCTCCTGTTACAAGAAGAGTCAGTCCTGGGTCAGGTTAAAATGTTACATTACTGAGATCCGGCTCTATTCCCTACCTAGCTCTGTGGCACCGTGCAACGGGCAGAAAAGGCCTCTCCCTGCATCACTGCCTATAGAACGAAAGACTGGGCAAACCCAATCCCAGCTAGTTCCGCTCTGCAATCGTTAGTTAATGAACATTACTGGACAAAAGTGCTGTGGTATCAAAGTCCTTCTGCAACAACTGTCCTGACTTTAAAACCAGAAAGGAGAGAGAGGAATGGGACAGAAAAGTGAAGGACAAGAATATGTAAGGGACTGTGGTGGCCAACATGGGGTTGATTAATCTTTGGTATGCTCTGCAGTTTTTGCATCCAAGATAATTTAAACTACAAACATTTACTTTTTGGTAGTCTGTTGGTCTGTTACATTAAGTTTTAAACTTAATGACCGTTGCTAGAAAAAACAAGCCTCTGTTACTCACTGCCACTTGTGCAGAATCCATGAACCTCAGTCCAAAGTAGTCATTTTCAACGAGGTCCAGATGATACATGATCTGTTCAAACAGATGTTGGCCCTTGGCTTTTTTCTGAAATTGCAAAATAAATTAGCATATAACAGGTGTATTTGTTACTGCATTTACCTTTTCAAGGCTACGAAAACACAAATTGAGTATGCCATAAAAATGTTTCTAAACACAAAATTGGCAACAGCCTCACCTACAACTGTAGAGTTGCTGGCATTTACGGTGCACCAAGTACATGAAAATATTTAATGATCTGTAATTTATCAAATGTAGATTTTAAACCTGTCTTTATAAGTAGCTAGTGCCAAAATGCCAATAATTTGGAAGTATTCAGCAAGGAACCCTACGACTCTGTGTCCCCCTGCATGCCCAATGAGGGCACTTTATGCCATGAAATTGGAAACACGGTTGTCGTCTGGCACGGCCTAATGCACCAGGCAGTTTTCAAGGACAGGTATAGAAATAGCCACTATATGAAATCCAGACATAATTCTTATAATTCTTCAGCTTTGAAGCAGATGGGGGGGGGAAACCAAAATCATACAAAGACTATACTCTAGGATAGCTCAGTCATCAAATCCTTTCAAATGACTAAAGCAAAGCGAATCAAGCAACATTTCTCGAACACAGTGCACTCTCACCAACAAGTGATTTCACAACCCTTACACACATAGTAGAGAGATATATTGCTTGTCCACAGAAATGTGTACCATTCACTCCTTTAATTTATTAATCTGGTGAGCCACTCCATCCTATTTATTTTTTTAAAAACCTATTATCTTCGTTTACCTGCATACACAAAAACCAACAGCAAAAATACTAAAAGCCAGTCTTTATTTAAAGAAACAGCTAAGATCGCTAAGGGACACTACTGAAAAGTATTTACATAACACATCACTGATAAAACCCATACACTTAAAATGTCAGAATATATATATATATATAATCATAGAATAGCAACCTTATCTCTGATCCCAAATAAATACCATGTTTCTGTGATAAATACAAAGTATGAACATAAAACATTTGAAAATCAAACGTTAAAAATTCTGTGCATTGTGGCAGCTGATCAGCTTCAAACAAGTCAAATTTACATATACATAAAAATGCTACACACTTTTCCTATTAAATTCCTTTAACACTATTCTCAAGGAAGCACTTTATCAAAACTTTTATTATCTACTACTTGATTTTAACAAGTATTTCTCACTTAGTCTCCTGTAAGAGAAAATATTTAGATACAACATCAAGATAATAAAAATCCACTAAGAAAACCCATGGGTCAGAGTTAAGATTGTTATGTTGTGATGAAAGATATATTATTTTTATCAAGTAGAAATAAATTTATTTATGTTTATTAGTCAGGCAGTGTACATGTTTAATGTCCTTAACTATTTATTTCCTTGCTTGTAAGTGGTTGGGTTTTGTAAACAACTGATGTGATTCTTAATACACTGTTGGCACTCAGCAACCTTAACAGGTTTACACAGTTATGAGTTGAGTAAAACCCAAACTTTTGTCCCATACTGTATGCCAACTCACTAGAAACTCACTACCAGGTGAAATAGTCTATCACAGAATTTTTGGCTAGGTTTGTTTAAAAAAGTAGTCAAATGAGTTGAACACAGATACAAAAGCCATTGAATACAGTCTAATGATTTCTACAAAATTTGCTTTGTTTATAAAGTAATATTGAGAGCTAACTATAATTCTTATTCTCAGAAGTTCCTCCATCTCTGCTTCAACCACTAAATCCCATACTAAAAGAGCAAGCAAACTTTTTACCACCCTATTGTACTCTGATCTTTAAATACTTTGCATTTAATTAAAACTGTAACCGTGGTCCTGGGTTAAACCTCTCTTTCAATATGATTCAAACCTACATTTTATACTGAAAGCTCTAAATCAAATATGACAAAAGCCTAGACCAGTGGTCCCCAAACTTTTCAGGATCACGCCTTCCCCTGGGGCCAGGAGTGGGGGGACACAGAGAGGGCCCAAGACTGGGGCCGCATCTGGGGGCAGGGTTGGGAAAGGAGCCATGGCCAGAAGCTGAGGCTGGGGGCGGGGCCGGGCATGGACCCAGGAGCTGGGGCCACAGCAGAGCTGGGAGCGAAGCAGGGCTGGGTGGTGCTCCCTCCCCACCGCCCCCCCCAAATGTTGCTCAGGCCCCCCAAGGGCATGGTGCACCCCTCAGTTTGTGGAACCTCTGGCCTAGACACTGATTTCAGGCTGTCATACTCTTCTGTCGCTCCCTTATTACTAAGTACCAGGAGGACTTGGAACAGCAAGTGACCTCACATATATGCACAGCAATAATCAAGTATAAGAGGAGGCACTGGGGACAGACCATCAGCCTCTTCTGTTAGTTTCAGTTAATAGAGTCATTATTATTTAAAAAAAAAAAGTATTAAAAACTCTCCAAACAACTTTGTTACAACTCTTGAACCAACAGGAGCTCATCTATTTAAAATAATAATTTCTTCCACTTTTAAGACATCTGAGCCAAGGTCCTCTTTCTTCCAAAACAACACATTGAGCTATTAATATTTTATCTTAACAAGTGGATGTTTCCTGCAGCATAAACAATAGGAAAGACAGGCTGATCAAAGTGAAATAAATTCAGGTTTGGGAAAGGTGAAGTTACAAAAGTCATCAGCTCACACCAAGGACCTGATGCCTGGCCTAAAGCCAAGGAAAAGGCTCCACAACAACTGCATTTTAGATTTTACTTTTATTAAAATATCTATATATTATAAATGGCTATTCAAGCTTCGTTTCAAGCTTTATAATGCTAATAGCTGAAAGAACAGGTAAATGAGAGCCCCTTACCTCCATCTAGGACAGAAGTGGGCAAACTATGGCCCATGGGCCACATCCTGCCCAGTGCTTGAGTTCCCGGCCGGGGAGGTTAGCCCCTGGCCCCTCCCCTGCTGTTCCCCCTCCCCCTCAGCCTCAGCTCACCATGCCACCAGCACTCTGGGCAGCAGTGCGAGCTCCTGCCAGGTAGCGCGGCAACGTGGCTGGCTCCAGCCAGGCGGCGCGGCTGCCCAGCCTGCTGCTCTGAGCAGCATGGTAAGGGAGCAGGGGGCAGTCGGTCCCGGGGGGCAGAGGTTCGGGGGATGCAGTCAGGGGACACGGGGGTTGGATAGGCGTGGGAGTGGATAGGGGTCAGGGCAGTCAGGGTACGGGGGGGTTGGATGGGGGTGGGGTTCTGAGGGGGGGGCAGTTAGGGGCGGGGGGTCCTGGGAGGGGGCGGTCAGGGGACAAAGAGCAGGGGGCGTTGGATGGGTCGAGGGTTCTGAGGGGGGCAGTCAGGGGGCAGGGGCCAGGCTGTTTGTATGGAGGGCTGGGTAGGGAAGGCTGTGCATCCCCAGTTTCAGAACCCCGATGTGGCCCTCAGGCCAAAAAGTTTGCCCACCCCTGATCTACGACATCAGTTTGACCCTGGCTCAGGTTGTAAAAGCTGTTATTGTCTAAAAGCCACTCAGTGACACCTGAAATTCATGGATGTTTATTTCCCAGTGGATGGATGTCCACATCACAAGTGGTACCTACCTTGGCAGTCTAAGCAGAGGGACAAAGGACCAAATGGACAGAGACTAAATTCCGCGGGAGGCAGTCCCTCAAGGATGGGATTTAAGGTATTGGTGGGAAAGCCTGTATTCCTGCCTGTACTGTGCTTCTGACTTAACTACTGGCCCTGTCAATCCAGCATCCCTCACGCACAGTTTTATGGACACAATTTATATCAAACAATAAATGTAAAATACCCATTTGGTGTAAGTTAAACAAATTTTAAAGTTTTAGTTGAAAACTCCACTGCTGGGAGCTACACATACATTCCCAAAGGTTTGTTAAACAGGTCTCCTACTGTCTATGTTTAACTAATGGAAGCCAAGGGATGAACTCTACAATAAGTTACTTTTTATGGGTTCACATAAACTTACTTGTGTTCAATAAAACTGCCATTCCCAGCACGTTCCAAAGGAATAGCAAAGATACATTTCTATTGCATTTCCATTCAAGAGACTATAAAGTAACAACTCAGTTGTAGAAACACTCAGTTTTTTTTAGACTGGTATTTTGATCTCACTCTTACCTTGTGTGTTTTGGCAGAGCTGGGGTTACCTCAAAGGACAAGCAGTTAAGTGCTTCCAAGTTGCTTAATGATTTCCAATAAAGCATTAACTACTTCACCCACAAACAGACCTAAATTTGAGACTGGTTCTCCCTTCAGGAAGACAAATTAACCTCCTCATGCATATGTAATTTCTTGAAATCCCAACGCTTGATTAATGTAGGTTATTAAACTAGGCAGGAGGTAATAGGGGGAAAAAACCCTCTAACAGCAAGAGGGCTGGGTTGTTTAAATAAAATAAGTCTTTGAATAGTACAGGGCAGTGAAGGGCTTGTCTATATTTGAAATGTACCAAAATAGCTATTTTTGAATAATGCCTTGTGTGGACACACTTGTTCCGGAACAAGAGCGCCTTTTACTGGTTTAGGTTAATCCACACAGGGGCTTATGCCAACATAATTATTCCAGAATAATTATTTTGGAATAGCTATTTTGGGTAAGTTTACAAGTGTAGACAAGCCCTGGACCTAAATCAACTGTCAGCTTCCTGCTTAAGAGTGAGACACCACTATTTAGGAGGAAACAATCAGGGAATATCATGTACTAGATCCCCAAACCCTTCTACTAGGGGATATTTATGACTTTCTGTGTCAGACACACATGAAGTGTCCTCATAGTGGGAAATAATCCCCACCCCTCCAAAATTAACCATGGGGAGGAGCCGTCTTAGTGTGGCTCTCACCTCTCCTCCATGGAGGATGCCATACTGCACACTCCCATGCATCACCCCTTACTAGTCCAGTACCATGGTTTTCTTCATCAAAGGTCAACAATTGTACTAACATGCAGTTGTTTGGTAACACAGAGACTGGAGTTAAATCAAACAACCCATCGCCAATGGTTAAGTGAAACCAAGGCCATATCTAGGTTGTCAGTGGTGAAGGGTATCCTTATGGACAATCAGCCATGTTCACGTGTCTCA